AGAGCCCTAATAGGAAAAAGGCCGGTACAACAGAACAGGCTTTATTGACCAATCAGAAGCCAGAGCCACGCGTCAGAAGCCTTCCATCCGAGTCCACCACGCTGGGCTCGCCGCTCATTATATACTGCACCTCGGTCGTGTCCTTCTTTGGTTGGCTGCTTATCTTTCTCGCATGCCATTGGATCGCAGAGAGACACGGGATTAGCTGCGGCCAGGTGGCCCAATATGTCTGCGCCCTGATACGACGCCACTGTAGAATACCCGAGCCCTAATAGGAAAAAGACTGGTACAACAGAACAGGCTTTATTGACCAATCAGAAGCCAGAGCCTCACGTCGGGCGCCTTCCATCCGAGTGTACCACGCTGGCCACGCCGTTCATCAAATACTGCATCTCTTCCATGTCCTTCTCTGGTTGGCTGCCTTCCTTTCCCGCATGCCATTGGATCGCAGAGAGACACGGGATTGGGTGCGGCCAGGTGGTCCAACATGTCTGCGCCCTGATCCGATGCCACACCACACCACACTACCATAACATCGAGACACTACACCACAAGATTATAATTTACTTGGAATCAATACCATCAAAACGGAGTTCGCTAAGCCATTATCGAAATCCTAATTTTATTTCTTACGTACCGTTCATATTATAAGAATAACTTTCAATTCTCGAATAGCCGTACACCGACGTACCATATTCGTGATTGCTTATGTATTGAAATCAGCTGTTTCACTCTTTATTTGAAAATATGGTCACAGTCACGATGGTAATCACACAATCCTAAATCATAGAAATCGCTGACTACTTATATAAATATTCTGTTTACTTCCGTGGACTGTTAATCTTGTCCGACATAGCGAAGGGTTCCCCACAGTATATGCTGGGACGATTGTTCTTATTTACAATGGAAATGCCAAATTGAGTTACTTCAAGAAATACCTTCGCACTGGGCGTGCTAGCTGATTTTTCCTTTAGCATAGTATTATGTTGTACTCGTCATAGTTTGACCAATGGTACTAGAATCCTAATTATGAGTCGTTTCCTTCTTCGTGCGACGTTTTGCGTTTACCTCTTCTACCTTTTATGTTGTTCTGCTGTTACTTTGCGTTCTTTTGCATTGCTAAATAAACAGTTTAAAGTATATATTCATATGTCGATGTACGTAAGTCTATTTCGTTCTGAAATTAACTGTTGTACAAACTACCCGCTTTTCTCCGTGAGTTAGGCTGTTAGCATACCCTTAATACCGTTGACGTCATCGAAAGTTAAAGTTCTGTTTACAGCTTCTGACCTACTTTATGTTTTGAAATTGTTCTATTCTTTTCCATACCATATCTTCATTTTCCTTCGGTTTTTGTCATTTTGTAACAACTTAGCTCGTGTATTTTTCGTTCATACTTTTTTGGTTCGTATATATTTGGATAGCATGTGTCAGGTCTAACACAATCCACTAGAAACCGATTTTATTTCAATTTGTTTTAGATATGAATAATCTTTCCAATATCTTGTTTCGGCGACTTCCGCGTTATCATCGATCATATTGTCCTGTTCGGCGTGTGGGCAAAGTTGCCCAGGAGGATGGAAAGAAGATTAATCCTCGCCACTTTCTCCTTCTAGTCTGTCCCATCACCGCCTTTAGTTTGGGATATTGGCAGATTCAGCGACGAAAGTGGAAGCTAGACCTACTTGAGAAAGTCAATACAGTACTTCCTTCCCCTCCTGTCCCCATTTCAAAGGAGCAAGCATTCTTCTTTTAACTTAGTTCCTTCTAGTGTGAGGGCGAGTACTGATCTACCAGAATTTCAGCCAGTCGTGGTTGAAGGTCGATTTGATCATTCGCGTGAAATGATTATTGGGCCCCGGGCGATAATTACCGATGATATAACTGCTGGGGGTTACGGAAGTGCGTGGGGTTCTAAAGCATCTTCAGATGACCATGCGAAAGTATCAAATCTAAGTAATTTTGGAGCACCTGCTCCAAGTGGGTATTGCGTAGTAACGCCATTTGAACTCAAGGATCGTCCTGGGTAGGTTTCATCGCTTGCCTTTGCTCAAAAGGCCACGTCAGTGTGTTTATTTTAGTTAATCGAGGATGGGTCCCCGCCACCTTACGAGACCCTGCTGCACGTCCAGCTGGCCAAGTAAGTGTCCCCATATTAAAATTAACGCTTTTTATTTAGGTTGAAGGATATGTAAAATTAACAGGATGCATCCGCTATAACGAAAAAGTAGGCTTGAAACGTCGTTTATCGCACGCTCTAGCCCCCTCCGTTTACCCCGGGTCCGAAATCCATAACTAATGCGGGGAAGAACCAACAGCCCCACCAGCAGTACTTTTGTCGGGAGGTTGATCGGATGTCCCAAGCAATGAATACCTTACCCCTTTTTATAGATGCATTCTATGGTGCGTTGGATCACGTATCTCCTATCCATAAGCAGATTTAGATTAAGCTTTTTAGCTTTTTAATCGTCTTATAGAGTCTTCAGTTAAAGGCGGTCCTATAGGCGGTCAGACAAAAGTGCTGCTACGAAACAACCATCTGGAGTACATAATCACGTGGTAAGTCTTACGTGATGCACCTTTTAATTACGCTTAGTCTCATTTTATGTCGCCCCATTACTCCTCTAGGTTTTCACTGGGGACATTCTCACTGGCAATGTGGGTATATTGGCTCTTCTTCTGACTTGACGCTTTATCGGTTGTCTATAAATCAACTTTATATACTTACACACGTGCTTTATATCAACACAGCTTTCTCCCGACCGTTATGCCTTGTTACTTACCTTATCATAACCACTTTGATTGGCCTGCATGAAATCGGCTAAGATCAAGCAACCAGATCTAAATCGTTTATTAATTTTTGCTGCCGATGCCAAATGCTCTAAAGACAGAATTCAAGCTGATAAGTGTGAGACCAGTTCAAAGTGAGATGACCTGATGTGGGTTAGAACACCCGGTTGTGGAAATTGTGCTATCAGTTAGTGATTGCGCCTGCCGCTGTGCAATCCGTCTAAGATCCAGTCCGTAAAATATGCACATCTTGACACACCCGTGTTTCTTCAGGAACGTCCACAGGTGGTAAATACGCAATCCCTTAATTCTCCTATCTTCTCCCCATATTTATCTTTGTAAAAAAGGTACATCACAAGAAGCTTTGCTCACCAACATCCCCACACATTGGATTCCAGCTCCGGAATATAACGAAAAATATAATTAATTCAATTAATATAATTCAATCCTAAAGTTTAAAGGTAAGGGCTGGTTTATAATTTAATTAAAGAAGATGCAGGTCAGCAATTATTGGACTAAAAAGCGTAGTGTCATGACCGAAGGAGGATGGGCCCTGCGTCGAGGAAGGATGTACAGAGAATTTTGGTGTAAAAAGCTTTTGATCTCGCACATAAAACAACACAGACACACGCACAAGGAGGAACTCATGGGTGGATGTTGTCCAAAGTGGCCTGAATTGCGTGCACCCAGTCCTCCACGCAGGGTGACGGTAGTGACTGATTGTCGATCGTCTGGAAATCGCTTGCAAGCATTGGAGCAGAGGCGCCCCTTTCGCGAAGAGACGAAGAGGATGGGGTGTGGGTGGGGGTTGCGGAGTGCTTCCTGGAGAGAGTGAAGAAATTACGGCGAGAGTTGCGTCGCTGTGGGGTAGGCGTCAATGGGAAGTTGGTGGCTTCAGAAATTTTCTTTTGCGGGGAACTTTGGAAGGGTCGAATGCGGTAGGTCTTGTGCAGGCCGGGATGGGTCAAGAGGAAGGAAGACTCGTCAACGCTGCCGTCGCGGTGGCGGGCAAGGCCGATGCTGGGTGGACTGTCGATGCGCGCGCCACCGCTTTCAGTTTGGTTGTTTTGGAAGGGTTGAATCTGACACCGGTCGTGAGCGAACTGAATTAAGAGACGCGTTCTCACATCACAATCACGGTCTGTTAGTATTTAAATCATACATATCAACTTGTAAAAAATATAAAGCAGGAAGACAGTACACTGGATCCCATTAGCTCGTCTTCGCATCGCACCTGTTAGTACATTTACAAAAAAATAACCAATCACAATTATATCTTGCAACAGGTGACTACCATAATCTCATTTTCGGACAGTAAAGCGATATTCGCCGAAATGGCCCTAATATATAAGATTTCAAGGGCGGAATTCCTAAATACAGACGAGTACGATGCTGTGTCGAATTGAATTGACTTACAAATGACTTTACAGAATGAATTGGTTTACGGCTAAGTCGCAGTTTATCTGTTTGATAGGATTCCAAAAGTGGCAAAAGATTTCGGCTCGAGTAAGTACTACGTACATCCTCTTTTCTGCACGGCTTTTTTGTCAGCGCCTCAAAGTAGACCATATAGGCAGAGGTCCAGCCTTCTAAAACGATAAGAGCAGACCAAAAGGGCTTCCACGATGAGTTTCCCGTGTAGCGCTGCTGCGGCTGTGCAGCGGGGGAAGGGGCAGGCGACTCTGACCAGGGTCCACAAACATCGCTATTGGTGCTGGAATTCATTACACCAGTCCCAAGTTCGAGTCCCGGCGGGATCAGGCGTCCAACGGTTTTGCGGCGGATCGGACCCTCACAGAGAACACAGGCGGCAGGCAGGGCAGTGATGAACGGAAGGTTAGTGGGTGGCCAATGAGAAATGTCCCCTTTGGAACGAGAGTGCAGACCGAAGGAGGCTGTAGAAAGTTATTAAAAAGGGCTTAAAGTATTGATTGTAAACGCTACTTGATTGAAGTTAGTGCTTCAGAGCCAAGGCCATATAAAAACGCTTAACAGATCATGAGTTTCTTGATCATGTTGATAGTAGGAATTTGCAGTTCAGACAACTTTGATTATATAGTATTGACTTTACCATGTGAGAAATTAGATAAAAAAGACCTTGATAATTGGATGGTGTAGTTGAATCCGAAAAACACCTTCACTTTTTTAGAAGAGGCGAGTGAGGTGTTTTCATCCCACTAAACCGCTCTGAAATATACTTGCTGAGATAAGATGAAAGTGTGAAATGCGGACTCACATCGTCTAAATTTGCTTGATTAAAATAAATTTGAAAACAGAACAGGCGGCAAACTGAGCGACCTTTGTGTCCTTTAGCCGAGAAAATCGTACACAATGCAACCGACTATGCAAACGTTATATTCCTTAGGTAAAAACTAATTGAGCAAATTAATGCCCTTGAGTATTTTTGGTAAGAAAAATAGTAGAGGCAAATCGTGCGCTTATCGTCAGGTTTGAGTTACTGGGCCTTTATTCATCGACTTCACGAGAATTACTATTCTTTCAGTTACAAATAAATAAACGCAAACAGCCAAAAAGCGTCATATGCGTTGCCGGATTCGATTGCTTAATGCGTAACTAAGTGAAAACATGCAAACTTACTACGCTTGAAGAAGTAATTCATTACCACAAATACGAGATCATCTAAAAATTTGGACGTACGTGAACGATTTTTTGTAGATCCATTAATGGCGGCTTGCGCAAGGTCTGTAGTCACTGCGGCCAATACAGCTGAGCACACGTCACGATTTTCGACAACGGATGATTTCGACCGGGATGTTGACACAGAGGGTGGTGGTTTTCCGGTGTTTGATTGAACAGGCGCCTCAGTAGTTGATTGGCATTGCTGTTCCGAAAACTCAGCTTCGGAAAGTGAACTAAATAGATAAGGTGCGGCGGCTTCATTGGTGAACACACGTGCCACTTTCTTGACAATGCAGTCCAAAGGTTTACCATGCGTTTGTAAGTTCAAGCAACGTTACAATTAAAATTCGCGTTATGCAAATATTTTGTTTGGAATTAAGACTGTTACACAAAAAGATATGAACCGGTTTTCGTAGAAAAGAACTGCGGCAAACAACAACTTGATAACTAAATCAACAGCATCAATGCTAAGGTACATAAGAGAAGGCCTCACGTACAACAAGAGCAACTTCAGCCATAGTTAAGAAACTAACAATCCCATGAAGGTGGCGTAGATGAATACACAAGGTAAATACAAACATGGTTGAATGAGAGTGCGTCTATAAATAAGACTGCTCTTTGGATCTGGCACGTTTAAACAGTTGCATGTAAAAATTTCTTTTAAATTTTCAAAAAAAAAGGATTTCGTAAGCTATTTTGTTTTTGCCAATGGAACCAAAAGTATGTAATAAAAACTCACGTCAGATACATCTTCTCTTTGAAGTAAGTTAAAGAGGTGCCCATTATCTGTGTTCTTATTTTCATGCGTCTCCGATACACGTGCAGGTCTGATTTTGGAGAACACGACCCGTTTGATTGGTACAAAACCCGTTTTCAGTGAGCATTATCAACATAACCCTGTTGGTGTTCGAGACTGGTGTTACGTCACGCCTACTTTAGCGGCATTGTGTTAGTCACGACCCTGTTAAATTTGCGCGGATGAGCGAAAGTAGGTGACGAAACCTCGTATTGTGATTTCAGCTACCTGGTGGTTTCGAATAGACTGTTTTTTTTTTCGCGTCGCCTATTACCACCTGACGCCATCTTCAGTTGATCGTATTGTACCAAAGCAAACTGACCTATCCTGTTTACTTTTAAAGGCTTGGGAAGGAAAGTTCCTATCCTGGTCTGCTGTACTTTGCCCTAACAGCCCAAGAGTACACCCGTGGTAATCCGTGTTTACATCTCGTCTACGAAACCCAGGTAATTCATGAGAGATAACCAGCCAGGTGGAAAGGACGTGGAATGGACGACTCCATAGACACGAAACGGGGCCAGCAAAATGGAGATTTCGAAGACTGAGACGATCAGCTGTCGTGGAATCCATGTAAAACACGTGATGTGAATATGGCGTGAATGCAAGTGATTGAAGACCTGACAAAATCAAACGTAAACAGACCGCAAACACACCCATGTTATAACTTGACGACTAATCAACTTTGACGAATTGACTGTCTTCTTGGGATTTCCGAAAAATCCAACTGAATAAACAATACGGGTTGGAAAAATTAAACAAATGGAACAATACCCTGTAGGCGGTAACGGTGCGTTGGGGCAAATGATGGTAATGAATAACGACCACTGAGGTTCGTAAACAGATGTCATCGTGTGCAAACGGTGATTCCCCGATAAAATGTCCCGAGATAAGCAAAATAAGGTCTCAAGCGTCCTACGCATTTTTTTTAGTTAAACACCTGCGAGCACGCCAATACGTATCTACAGAGGGAAACACATTATCGAGTGCAAAGGGCGGTAAGTTGGTGAGGTTTAAAGAAACGACAACCAAACTTTTCGACACCACGTTAACAATCCACTACTAATCTTCACTACGTAGTGGAGGCGGAATGAGAGAAACATCTTAGAGTGAGGGATTGTTCCAGAAGCGTGGCAAAGCTACCACATCGGGTTTCAACTGCGAGAAAGCCAGTCATGGACGGTATTCGTCACTCTGTGGAGTCACGATAAATGTCAAAGAAAAAGTCTTCCAAAGAACCAATAGCCTAGCCGGATTACGAGAACGTGAAGCATTTTTCACAGATATGACGTTTGCCATAGAGTCTAGAGGCTTATGGTGGCAGTCACATCCAAGTTGTACAATTCAATGAGGGTTGAAGATGACTAAAGCAAACACTGCTGACCGATATCTTGTCACCAGAAATTTTTAACATTGGCGACAAACCAGTGGACTAAACCAGAGAACATGATATTTCTAACCTCGAGTGATCTGTTTAGCTAAGAAAACAATGCTAGAGCTACAACAGTGGTCTCGTCGACGATCGAAACGTGGCTGCTTGATTTGCCCGATTAACAAATCACCTTTGTGCAAGTGATGAATATCAGCGAAAACACTTTTTACTTAGAGAAGGCTGGGAACATAGGCTGAATTTTTTTCTGGAATCCTGATAAACACGATGAAACTGATAATAAAGTCGCGCAAACGTGTTGAAAAGCCTGTGGGTCAAATTAACATCTTTAAACTATGGATTTTATTATAAGAAAACGCTTCCACGGATGGTCTTATCATTATGTGTACGTTTATAATAATTTAATGTGTTTCACCTCGCCGATTGCGTGGAGGTTCGCTGAACTTCTCAACATACACTTGTTAAGGCAACACTTGGCTTTCGGTTCAGTGTTTGCTGAGCATACTGGCAATTGAAGAAGGTTAAATGATGCGTGCTTTGGACCAACAAGAGACTAAAGCGTTGGCTTTACAGCTACTTAAAAACGCCAACCTACAACACTTTGCTCCGGCCCCTCAAAAACAGGTTAAGAGAGCTAGCGAACAGCACGCGTGACTAACAGCACCAAATCAAACCTTACAAAACGTGAGACCAAAAACGCTCTCCTGGAGCGAAATTAAGAGCTCACAGAAAACACCTGTTCTGGAAAAACCGCTGTCCCTGGTTGGAAAGCTAAACAGAGAAAGGTGGGTGCAAAGTTCGAATCACACACGCACACACCTGTTCGTCCAATTGAAATAATATGGAAAGAGAACTGATGCTTGCTGGCGATGGTCTTGCTATTCTTGAAAGTCCCCAAATGTAATTTTCCGTGGGACGTAACACTCAACAGGTCAAAAATTTGCATTTTTTTAGTTGCACATGCATCTGTAGAAAAGTTAATGAAATAAAACAGTTGGCTCATTATCCGAGTTAAAAGGCGATTTAATGAGGCGTTGAGATGACTGAAAACTATGAGCAATAGCACCAATCAACTTACCATGTGGGCGTGATAGATCCATCTTGATGATGTTGATACTTTGCTTCGGATTGACGACCACACAGAAGACAAACGGACGGCAAGGGGAAGGAGGATTCATTGGACTGTGGCTGGACAACCTGGACTTCTCGATCATGCTTTTTTGGGCAGGAGAGTGGCGGCTCAGGTTTTAGTCCAATATCAATGTCTACGTCCCCGCAGGAAGGAGAAGGGTTGTGTGATTCGGGGTGTTTACACTGGGACCGATCCTAAAAAGACCATTTCTAATCGGGTTACAGCTGAAGGGTTCTACACAAAAGATGGCGATTTAGCGCTAGAAAAATTCGCGGACACCGTTTCCGATTCAGGTCAATAGAAAAACTAACATTAAAAACTTCATGCAAAGTTGAAGAACATTATGATTCTAGACGGCTACTGACTTTAATTGCATTCAACAACAAAATGTGCGAACGATGGATCTACGCCATATTTCGGTTTCGGATAGGTAATGCATGGCGACATTTTAGCAACAAGTTTGGATGCTTGACGTGAACAGACACAATAATGACAGTAAAATCTTTTTAAAAAACAGCAAAGCCTTTACTCTGCTGAAGGCTACATAATAGTAGGCAATGGCCAGCATTACGTGCATAGCTAAGTGCAAACACCAAAGCCACCCCAAGAAAACGCAGAAGCCTGCACAAAAAGAGAAACCCAGACCGGGATTAGAAAGCGTACGACAACTCAGAATGCCTACGTAAGTCTACTTCCCGATTAAAAGAACCAATTTATTAAAACCAATATCAGATTCACTGACGCAAATATTATTTCTACAACCGAAGTTACCTTTGTTGATTGAAATGCTATAATGCGACATTGGCTTTCGTTAAGGTTAAACCATTTTAAAGGAACTGCAATTGAGTTAGGAAAAATGAACAAACTTGCCTTCTCTGCTTTGACAATGGGTGTAGCAAGGGTGTCATGGGTAATGTGAATTTTGCCATCAGTGACCGTAGGTGAACAGAACACACCGCCTTCCAACAAATCGACCAGATTCGGTGGAAGAGACAGTTTTGTTGGCGTTGACTGCGACCCCGTCTTATCACAGGAAATTTCAACTTCCTCTCCCAAACAACCGAACGACAACGGTGGAGAATTGAAGCTAGGGGCCCGTTTCCTGCGACCGCCCTGCTCCTGGTCGGACACGTATCCTGCCGTTACGGATGAGGTAGTCGATGGAACCCTAACAACAGCGGAATTGCCTCTTCGAGAAATTTCAGCAAACCCGTTGCTGTTTAGAGATGGAGGGGGATCCAGAACGACTGGGGGCTCAAGACGGAGAGACGCTTTAAAATTTGCATTTTCGAGAAACTTCTGTAGCTCCTCAATGTACGACTGCGCAAGGAGATATGCGCGAATACTCTCGTTCACTTGATAGGCTAAATGAACAGAAATGACTTTACCAATGAGCGTAAATGAAGCGTCGGTTGGTGCGACATGCGTAAAGAACGTCATCATTCTTCCGGTAATGTGGGTGTAAGTGCGTTTAGCATTCTGGTGGATTTGAATCACCGTTAAAAAAATAAAAGTACTGGGCTCTCAAACCCGCGCAACCAACAAAGAAAAATCGGACAACTTAATCGATGGGTACCCTCAAAGTCCCATTCATGTCGACGAAAACAAGCAATTTCAAGTTAGTCTGACTATCACCATCAAACTGACAACGCGCCTAGTTACGAAGTAAATAGGTGTTTGGGTGAGATTATAAACAATAAGAATTTTTAACATGGTGACTGACTGGACTTTGCATGTGGTCTGAAAGGCAGCCATATCTGACATTAAAAAAATTAAAAAAAAAACATGAACCTGTACAGTGAGGTAAAAGTAATAAGGTTTCACCTTTTATGAAACTCTGACCTTCCTGGCCAATCATTTACAAACTGTCCGAATATGCCAAGAGTGCTGCTGCTTCAGTGACCAGCATCAAGAGTGGAAGAAAAATTAGTGATTTTTGAGGAAGTTCGCATGGACGATAACGTTAAATGCCGCAAAATTCCGATGAAAAGTTGAAAAATATTTAGAAAAGCCAGTATACGCTGCAACTTTTGATGCCCGTCTTAGTGCCATATTCGACAGTAAAGAATACTTATTCACTAAAAACCGGCTACCACATCTGAATCGACAGAAATTGCCTTGCTTTAGGGCAATTACAAGTGCGCACAACACCTGATGCGCCAATCAAAAGCTTCGTTGGACGTTGCTACGGCCAACGAGGGCGTGCGTGAAGTAAGTGGAAGTAGGGGCAGTACGGTTAACTTTGTGGCCTTGAGGAATGGCGAAATGCGCGTAGAGTGGATTCACTTCTACGCAATGACTATTTTATAGAGTGTTACACACGAAAATTCTGAATTTAAACGGACATTTTGCTGTGTTTTGATTCAAAATAGCTAAGTGAGATGATGAGGGAACTAGGTTTAGAGCTGAAGATAGTCAAATGCCGAAGAGAGCCTTATCCCGAGGATCTGTAAGTCAATGAGAAGATGAACTATGGCTTAGTACAAATAGTTAAGTCCACGCACCAGACAATGCGTGAAATGAGGCTGCTAATTGATTAGACCTTAGCAATTTAATCAAAGCAAAGTGGAAGGAATGAACACCAACGTAAATTGTCCAAATTTGCTTCATGGTACAGATCAATTCTCCGAACTCCGTAGTACGACGGTATGTCGTTCAAGGAGGATACTTGCACAACCAGAATGTTGACCAACGCTCGATAAATTGAATAAAACTAGTCAAACGGCGGTAATGGAATTAAATGAGGCAAATTCTTAGGGTCATCAATCTCTTGCTATGGTTTTAGACAACCACTGGAGGTCCTCAAAACACAAACTTACCTAATGGAAACAGGAAAAATGAATGAGAACAAAAGTATAACTTACGGAATCGTGATTGTTGAAAGTGGGAGATAGCATCAACTATGGTATTTAGCTTCGTCACCCATACTGTTGTAGGCTGTCCATTTATGCGAGGATGAGCGACGTTGGTGTAGATGAGATCAGATAGGTAGAGACCTAAAATCAGGGCCCACGACAGTACTATGCAGTCTGCATCACACAACAGCAACTTGCAAGGCCTCTACCTAGCTTAGTGGGAACTTTCCATACTTTAACGATGAGTTAAGGTTCTAAGTCAAAGATTTGAAACGACACATGGATTAGTTGAGGTTATACAAGTCATTTCGGCGCAAGATAATATTCATCGAAAACGCTGTGAAACCAGTGATGCAAAAAGGACCTGGTCGGCGCATTTTTCAAAACCAAACAAAAAAGTCAAAAACCTAAACAGCAAAATCAAACCTTGAATGATTCCAACGAGAGTAACCGACCAGGGGCTCGTGAGGAAAGAGGAGGTATATTCAAGTAACGTTGAAGTTTTATGTGATAGCAGAGTAAAAAAAAACAGTACACCATGTCCCAAAATCGTGAAACAAAACTATTGAGGTCAGATGACAAAAACTGAAACCATGTACGAATACCACGGATTGCTAAGATTTGACGGCTAAATGATTTCACCTAGCACATAATCTGAATAACTATGCCTGTCTCCGCATGACTGGGAAGATACGCTACTTACCTAATGTATACTATATAAATTACTAATCAAATATACATAATCAACTTAAGATCCACCACGGTATTTTAATCGAGTTGAGATCTGGGCCTTAATTTTTTTCCAATGCGTTGGTGAGTTACGGCAAGACCGAAACACCACTACAGTGATGTCACGTTCTCAGTTCACCCAATTCGGCAGCACGCATTACGGGTGCAAAAAACCAAAGTGAAATGCTGCTTTCTATCCTTTTGTGACAAAAGAGGCCTTTATTTAGCAACACCTCCCAAAAATAAGCGCATCTAGGATATCCCTTTTGGCATTACTTGAACATACAACCCCATTCAGTCGCAACCACCGAGTTGGCAGAAATACCAGCGCTTTTAGTGAATCAAGACACATGACGCACGACCTTTCCATGATCATTTGATCTTGAGGTTTATGAGTAACATCAGAACTGTTCACATGGACTAATGTTTATGGACTGGTAAGCGAGGGTGGACCGCCCGAGAATCTCACGTAATGGCTCCACCGATGGATGCCCTGAACGGGGGATGCACGGACACCGACGATTAAAGCACTCCGTGGAGAAACTCGCCTAAACTAACTGCGGACACATTACCCGACCTTACAAAATAGCTTGTCGGTCATGTGTGAATAAATTGTTTTCTTAACTAAAGGGATCCTATTATGTTGAAAAGGGCAACATAACCTGTCAAGAGACCGTGGTAACAGTAAAAGTTCCGCTACTTATCACATAACCGACGAGCAACCCAAATTTATCTCTGATGGACACGAATGTACCAAGTGTTAATAGCTAGACACATGCCATCGGTCGGGTCAGGCACGCGCGCATGCCAAATTCCTAAAGTTCTACACTCATAACCTGTAGCAATTATTTGCTGTCAAACATTGTCTTGTGTTCAACAAGGACGCATGATAATGACGTCCAATAAGGACAAAAGTAGATTGAAAATGAATAAATATGGAAGGTTAAGCATAGAAGGCTGGCAAACACACCAGCAAATTAGAAAATGTCAGCAGCTTCACCGAATGGCGAGATGGGAACCTACCAATGTGACGGCGAACTTTGACAGAAATAAACAGACACCATGCGCTAAATAAGGCTCACGACTTCAAACATTCCTACTTGGTCTTGATGGCACCACCGAACAAAAATAACTTGATTCTTAAGTAACTCTTAAGCATATGACATATACAGAAACCTTATGCTAGCTTAGGACCTTCGGGTATCTTAACATTGGGGCATTTCTAAAACATATTTGGCTCTGTGCACTAAGACCAATTTAGGGATTGAAAAGCAGTGGACGTTGAACCTTGATGTCGGCGCCCAAAAAGATTGCACTTGAGGTACGCCTGAGTCGAGTGCATCGACCACGTCCAGGTCGCTGACCCATGGCTAAAATTGTGCTACTACCATTGTTATTGGTCAGTAGCTTAATTTTGTCCTGTCACATATAGCTTACGAAACGCAGGCTATCAAAAGAAATGACTGCCTGATAAATTTTGCTCATTTGACAAGACATTGAAGTTAGGAAAAAAAACTGCTTTAAGAGCGCACACGTATAAATTCTTTGTTTCCAAACATTTAGCAATTTAATTTATCGGAGTTATAACAACTATGAGTATTATCCTTATACAACATATAATACTTATAGCATTCATGATAAGGCGTAATTAGTCTCCCCCTAAATATGTTGATGGATTTCCTGCGCACTACAAAGTAATGACACACGATTCCACCTGTCGTGGCACCGAAGGCTGACACTACGAGGAGCGATGGACGACGATAAATGCACAAGTTTGTTGGCGGGTTCCAAATGCTCCAACAAGTGATAAATTGAGCATTTCTGAGCATTGGTGTAATTAAAAATAGATCGTAGAAAGAGAAAGTTTAAGGCGGATAGTTTTGACAGAAGTCGAGGATCTCAGTGATATTGACAAGCAGACGTCTTACACCAAATCGATAACACTCAGTACCGAGGCTCCATCAAATCAAACAGCTAAGGGGTTATAGGGACGACCAAACAATAATTTACCCGCCGAACTGTGAAGAATAGCGAGTTGCTGTTAGCAAAGTTCTTCCATTACAAACGTATGCGGGAAATAGTCTCCATTCAAAATTGAGTTGGTAGAGACATTGAATTGAGAATTTTTTTGATCTATTCCTACCAAGTTACTTGATTGATCTAGTTTAAATATCTAGAAATGCTCACTAAGACCCTAAGTTAATCGGAACACAGATAAGTGTAATACGATTGAAAACGTCCGTTAGTGTTATCAATGGAGGCGTCTTCGAGTCTGGCTGCTTACTATGCCGACAAATCGTCATACAAACCGCGTATACAGTGTATTTAGATCTCCCTCAGAAACGTCTAAGCCCTGTTTTGGACCAAATCCTGCATCTTTTTAGTCAATAATTTAAGTGTAGTAACAAGATACTCATAACAGCAAAATTGGGTCTACAAAAATAACTGCATGGATCAGTTTATTTCACTAAACGCAAATTGAAATGACCCAAGTTCTGTAGATTCTGCTTAAGAAGACCCGTCTAACAAATCAAAAAAGGTTCGTCATGGAAACGGTGAGTCGCAAATACAAGGGACCGACCATACCATAAAAAGGATTAATCAGTTGTGCTAAAAATAGGCACGGTATCACTGCGTCGAATGTGGTTTAAGTCGAATTCCTGGAGAAATAGACAATAAGGCGCATGACAGTGGATATTACTGTTGGCATGCATGAGGCATCATTTTATGGGTTTAAAAGCATTCAGGACCGTGTGTCGTCTCAAATCAAAATTATATACGAAGTCCTGTGACATCCCTCCAATAACCATTCGGTGCCATTAATGGCACGGGAATAGTCTTTGGGTATGTGACGTCCGCTGAGGTTCTGAAACCAGTAAAGCTTCGACGGTGAGTTAAAATTCGAAGTTTAAAGCTACTTTTTAATGGACCTGGTTGAATTCCCTTCCACCCTTACGTGTCGGCATACCAACAAGACCACTGAAATAAATGAAAATAGCCCGTCATTAGTCAAAAATTGTGACACTTAATTTGGAAAGTACAGGACGCTACTCAGCGTGTGGGTTCGGAGTACTTACACGTCAGGCCAAAAAAATAACCTGACGGTAGATAGACTCGGACCCTGATGAATTTTAAAGTTTTGTTTCTAGTCTTAACTTGCTCACAAATTGATCACACGGAAAATGACAAGTTCATCCAAGGCAGTTGATACACCCCGTATTAGGCATATAAAAAGAACAGAAATATGCCGATTTTACTCATATTAAATCTTTCTTGACAATAACAATTGTGGTGGCACTTGCAGGGAACACCTGTTACATTTATTGAGGTGCGATCTACACCCACTTGTAAACTCAAAGCATGATTAAACATCTATCAGAAAGACGGAAATTTTAACTAGCCTTACGACGAGAGCCTTAACATCCTTAAATAGGAACGCGTAAACGAACTCAAGTCATTGGACAAAAACATAAAATTATCAAGAAACCATGGACTATATGTGAAACATTCATCAGTGAACGACTGCGACCAACGGCATTGGTATTGTACAGAAAACAAAAACATTAACAGCACACGCGACTTGTGGTAAGAAAAATCACATTTTGAAGTGGTGAAATTTTAGGATTGTGCCACCTTTTGTACATGATTTAAATTCCGAAACAAAAGTAACTGCAACTTCAGTTCATGCATTGGTATTTTGATTCAGTTTAAGGAGGAAGATCATCACACTGTGGACCTGACAAATTGCTAAAAATATTAGTAATTCTTCAGAAAAGGCAATTCCAAGACGGTCAAATCTGGGCCTGATAAGGAATCAGAAAGGGCTAATTCGAGTTGAATGATGATGCATTTAAGTAGGCCAAATGAACGCATTAAATGACTATAAAAGTGTCTCAAAGGATATCTCGTTAGGGCTTGACGTGTTCAAACGCCAAATGTCAACTGTAAATTGACATAGTTACAAAATCGCTGGCTGAAAACACTTACAAGGAATGATGAATAGAACTGCGAATTATTTGCAAAAGTGGATTTTGCTGAATCTGGTTTCCTAAGAAAATGGACTAATTTTGAACAAAGGTGGGTGGGGAAGACGAACAAACCTATTTTTTATTGCGTAGGCATACTTATCCACACACAAGTACACTTACCGAGGTAGGGTATGCCGGGAAGGCGCATTGAAGCAGTATGTTCTCGAAGAAGTCGACAATTATTTTGCTGTCCGAAAAGCTCTTCCAAGCGTCTATAAGCCGCTCTTTCTCTATGTCCCAGTCCTGACCAGGTGAGACGTAGGCGATAAATACACTCCACCTGCAGTGCCGAGACTATGGACATAGCCGAGTAGAGGTTGTTCAATTCAACCAGTCTCTAAATGTCAAGGGTAATTTGACTATTCTAGTAATATGTAATGGGAAAAATCTAAACCAGTGCATACGTATATACTGTACCATCGAATGGAAAAAAGCGAAACGTATAAAATCAACAACAGATAAATAGCATAAAAACCATATAATGTATTTACTTCTGCCACTGGTATCTAGGCCTCGTGAGAGCCGAATTAAGGCCATATGAAAAACTAAACCGTTAAGTAACATGACGCACAAGAAACAATAAATTCGCAATTTGACAAGTCATCTTATGTGAAAAGAAGTGATTTAAGAATTCAGACTATCGAAAAATAAAACATTAACAATTCAATATTTTTTGTAGGCGAGTGGCTTTGATTTAGGAACTAATAGAACTAAAAGAAGCCAGCTAATCAAAAATGTGTGATGAGGCTATGGTGACGGCGGCCAGCCAGTTTGCGCGCTTGTATCCAGAATTTACCGCTACAAGATTTATGGAGTGATTGTTGTGAGAAAATTGAATATTCATACGAAAATCAAATAAAAAAATTGACGTACTTTGGCCAACTTGATAAAGAAAGACAACATTTCCGTCCTTTTAATAACAACTGAGTATTTTAAAATCTCCTTCTGAACCCAAAAATTTAGTTGATTGAACCACTTAGTTGACTCAACGATATTCGGGGCGTAAATTTTCTTATCCCTGCCGTTCCACTTCAAACTGAGGAACTCAGATCTTTTGATAGCCGCAAAGTAGGACATGTCGATCAAAGTAATTTGTTTCTGTAAAAATGTTAGGGATGAAAACCTGATAAAGAGGGCTTACCGCAAAATCGTCAACGCTCACTTTGGTTATATCAGCAATGGCAATATTGCACATTAGGTCTGAGGCAGCTTTGTCATTTTTAGAATGTCCTAGATCCAAAGTCACATCAACCACAGAGGCCTAAAAAAGAAACGAAGGACAAAGTAAAGCGTTTAGATAGACATGGCAAGCCTCAAAAGGAATAGTTATGTCTACAAGAGAATACTCTAGTAACATCAAATCTCATCAAAAAAGAGGGCTTAAATAATCAACCAAAGCGGATCCCATTAACAAGAACAGATTCCTGACGTCGGAGACATACCTATACACTGTAAACACTGACTTAATGTCCCGGAAACACAAATAAAAAACTGACGGAAAAAAATTACAACCCGAGAATTGGCACGAAATACTATTTAACAATCAAAAACATACAACCAATGTCTGTTTGACTTAGTAGAGACACTATGGCAGGTAAAACTACGTTAAACTGAGATAAATGTAAATGTGAAAAATACCCAATGGCTGAATGACACCAGTAGCTATATTATGCAATAAAGGAATGATGACAATGAATATCGACACATAGAGACTATATCAATTTTTCGACCAACATGCAAATAAAAAGCGCTATAACAACATATACTTTAGAAAACCATGAAATACAACAAAAATCTCAAGAAATCTGACTAAAATAAAGAAAAAATGCAGGCCCCGTAAAAAATACCTCCTGTGTCTGCAAAAGATACATATAAAAAAATCAAACAAACGAAGTAAAAATAACTGTTAAGTACGCACAGCAGGAAAATTAGCCATCTTCACGGACGAAACCACAACGACATATAACGGATTATAAAATGGAAAAACAATCAATAGTCGCAGACATCTTAAACTATGCGAAGCTCCACCAACCCCATGTCTGCGTGCGTTTGAAACTCCTGCGAGGATGATTAGCAGCCAACCAGAGAGAAGAAATGAGAGGTAGAAAATCACGAGAGATAAAGAGCATGGATTGGGTCTGAGGAAGATTCAAATTAGATGTAGTCAACAATGTTTCCAGAAAGAACGCAACGTCTATATACCAAGCCTCCAGCATATATACAATGTGGAACAATGAACCATGAACACCAAAACCAAAAAATGTTAATAGGCGACCAATTCAAAAAAAAAGGAAGAAATTGCTCATCCAACGGCAAGTAGTGAAAAATGCTACATCAAGCATTTGCACTTTCAGAGCAGTGTGACCAGGAAGAGTGTCCACCTTTTTGAAAATGCAAACCGCGATCGGTACCTCTATTAATGTTCACGGGATGCAATCGTGAACTTTGCAGTGAGTGTGCGTATATCTAGGCCCATTAATTTAAGTTAAGTAAAATAAAAACCAGCAGACTAGAAAAGATGAGAAACAGTTGCTACATACACACGTAAATGCAGTTGGGCCGTGTTGTAATAATAAGTTGTAGTGCATGATCCAAAAAAATTTGCTGAAGGAAAAGGCCAATTTGAGCAAAAAAATTAAATTAGCTGGTCTTTATTAGTGACATCATGTAGAATAATGAAGAAGCTACGCGACAAACAAGAGTACCACTGTATATTCTCACCTCACAACTGGACTCTGATGGAGACGAACATCCGGCGGATCCGCAGGACGAATTGGAAGATGAGGAGGAGACAACAGATTCATCTTCCAATGAGGCTCTCACACCCGTTTCTGAACTCCACAGAAAGCAGATATCCGCACTGAAAGCCCGCCTTACCCAACTAGAGAAGGAAATGCTTGACTTGGAAGCCCAGGGGGTTGAAAAGGAGCGCGCACTTCGACAGTTGGAAGAGACGGTTGGACAAAACCAGGAAACTTACATGACACACTTGTCGACAAGTGAGCCGGATCTCTCAGCGAAGGGGACGAAGTCGGCCTCTTTTTCCACTAAGCGAAAGAATAATCCTCGTTGGTGGTGGGTACGGCCGCGGCGACTCCCCCACAAACGAAGCCACGCCCCGCATGCCACGAAAGTGGGCGTGGAAATGGCCGAGTGTCCGGAAAGAGTCCACGTCTTCACAGAACTGCTGTCCATTATTTCCGAGCGGAACAAGCTAGTAACCCAGGAGGCCATAATCATGGCGGAACTCAAGAAAATAGAGTTGGAGGCCTATGAGGAAACCCTTCAGTTGGCCTACGACTCTGTCCAGCGTCCAAGTGCCGAGGCACACCAGCAAGGAAAGTCGAAAAAGATGCCCTTCAGGTTGCCTAGAGCCACTCGATCCAGGAAGCCTCGCGTGTGCTCCGCAACTCGAGAGCCGACTGAGGAATGCAGAGAGGAACAGTTGCGTGACGAAATATGGAGGGTTTCGAAGGAGAGGGTGGCTCTGACAGTGGTTCAGGGTGAGACCATAGAACGGTACGTTTTGTTCTGCTGTTTGTGAATAGTTGGACAATATTTCTTGGGTTGCAGATTTTTGTCACGTCATGACACCTCTCTGTACACCCGCAAGTATAGGATGAGGTGAGATATTTAGACGCTGAAATGGGGGCTGAATTCAAGTGTTGTTTTTTATGCCTAGTTCCTGGCTTGCATACCGTGAGGCACTTTTATGCCTGGCATGTGAGTAAACGGCTGTGCCCATCTGGCCACGTCGTCCTTCCACCGTCTTCCGAAGGCACAGTAGAATCGTAAGGTGACCGCACTAGCATAAAGCCACAATACCTCGTCCCCAATGATTGATCTCAACATGTCGGAGTCAGCGCAGACACGTCGTGTGTTAAACCCAGGACCGTAGTTTTGTGCGTCATTGTGTGGTTCGTGTTAGTGCATGGATAATGTGCGTTCAACAGTCGATGTTGATAAATACCACTCATAATCCGCCCCGAGAACATCAAAATTGAGGGCTGTGGTCGCGAACAGATGATGTCTGCCGAATTCCTGCAAGATGGCGATCTTACTTCTGACTAAACAGATTGTCTCGTTTACTTTCTGTGCACGCACCCCTGTTAGAGAGGTAGTGTCACGTGAGTCCCCTCCCAATTCCCCTTTAAATATTTGTAGGAAAGATAGCAAGGACTTGTGGCTGTAGATCCGTGTGAGTTCTCATGCGAATTTTCTGCCAGTGTTTGCATGTGCGCGCGCCTCTCGGGCTTGTTCCGAGGTTGCATGTGTTGTACACGTCCGCATTGGAATTCCTGCTTTTGTAGTCTGCATGAAACAGAGCCAAGTGGTTATTGGTGGTCGTCGTAGTGGGTGTTTATCGTTGTCATTTCGTATTGGACGAAACACATTCAACAAGGCGACGCAATGCTATACTGCCAAAACTAGAATATTGAAACACTGTGGTGGAATAGGGTTTGATTGACAATGTCGGTTTTGGTTGTAGCAATGAGGTGTTTTGGTGAGACGTGGTGGCTTTTAGGTCGTCAGTAAGTTGAGTGTTAATTGTCATTTGCATGACTGAGGCGTGCGTGAGGCCAGAATGGGTTAAGTTGCGATGACATGGTAAAGACTCGCCCTGTATCTCAGCGCCACTCACTTGTTCAAGTCTTTCTTGTTCTCAGTTCGAACATTCAGGAGTTGAGCGTCAGACAGGCTTTAAATCGCGACAAGGATGCCCTGCATCGCGCCCTATCCACCCATCACCGCATTAACCCTGACGACCATGACCACTAGGCGGACTAGCAAGTGTTGATGCCCCGTCCGACCAACTACCTCTCGCCAACACAAGGACATTGCATTTATAGGTGACTTCCTTTCGCTCCCAGCCACCCTGGCACCGACGTCCTTCGGTCTTTTCTTCTTTTCGGGCTTTCTTATCTCTGATGTCATGAAATTGCATTGGATTGTGTGATGTATTTTTACTTGGTTTAATACAGACGGACTAAACAAGTTGATTTTCCACTTTAAACGGCTTATTTGTGGTGTCTTTTTTGTCCGAACCCGAGCACTCTGAAAGGCCGCTTTACCGTGGTGTCATGCACGCAGTAATGCTGAATTGTGTGCCCTAGCACCGTTGTTAGGCATTGTATGACGATGGGTGGAATGGGAATTTGGGCATTCGAACAACAGTTTCTGTGATCACAAGGCGTGCAGCGACGTGGTGCCTCTGCTGGCAGGGATTCGATCCGTGACGTTGACATGACCACGCGAGTATAAACAAGAACGAAGGAAATTGAAGTCGCCACTCGCATGGACGGATTTCGGCGTCACGTGTTTAGTGTCTTTTGGCTAACAAGAAGCAAACGGCGAGGTGTGCTGTCGTGCAAGATCATCATGAACTGGTGATGGTTGAGCCTTTCTGACCCAAACCATTTCGTCATGGTGTCTGGTGTCCGTCTAAGTCATAGTTATGTCGCATTCGACGAGCCACTAGCATCAGTGTATTTTGCAGCAACTGCTGGAGGCGTTTGTTTAATATCTCGCTGTCCGTATTGTGATGATTGGAGTAGAGGTGGATGCAGGTTTAAAAGGTTGGCACCTTGTTTTGCATGGCACTATACTTGGTCTCTTGCCGAGACATGCGCAAGTGGACGCACTCAACTGGCAGTCATCAAATGCAAACAATGCGCTTTGGTTTACGACAAAGTTTGTTTTCATTTGGACTGCCTCTTCTCGTCCTGCTCTATTGGCACGATATCTTGAGTCAATGCTGCTTAGAGTTCGCTTTTCAGTGTCGGTGAGTGCATTGACGCAACCGACGTCGTTTCATCTTGAATGGATTGAGCTTTGCGTACCTCAAAATGTATAGCAGTAGTAACGCTTTTTTTGCTAATACAGAATCACCCGAACAGTTTAAACCTAGAGGGACAAGGATGGCGAAGCTGTCTTCTAAGGCAGCACTTTGATGAGAACCCAGTTTTCTTGCCTGTTACTAGAGGTTCCGAATTCGCGTGTTGTCACTCTTTACCTCCTCTACAAATGGCGTTAAATTAAATCTGTAAAAAGTTTAGGCTTGCCGCCTGTTATTCAAGTCACTTTATGTGATGGAGGGTGTACAACACGCCAGAGGTCATGCTAGGAAACTGGAAACAGTCTTAATGGAACAGATTCAGGTGGCCGTACACAATGACGAGCTAGCCATTTTGGTCGAGTTTCAGCAGTGTTTCACAATTGGGTGGGAGATGAAACTGATTGGGTAATAGAGGCCGCATTTGTAGTTACGTAATATTTCGGGTGGACGTTGCTTTCATGTTCTTTTTACTACTGCTGCAATAACTCATTTCGTTGAATTGGGCGATGAGTTTTGAATTCAAGGAAAATTAAGCTGCTGCCGCCACACAGGATTAACTTAATGCGCCGATCGAACCATCTATGTTGACTTTTTCTGTATGAATTCTTGTAGTTTGTACTTAGAAGCATGACTAGAGGAAGGAGTCTAAATGTACTATAATAAGAAACACAAAGGACACCAATGCCTTCATGTTGATTAAATGTTTGTTTAGTCTGATCGATGGCTTAATGTTCAGACTCTTCCGCGAAAAGCGACTTGGTGTGGCTGTGTGGAGTCTTTCGTTCGTATTAACATTTTTTGTGTTCTCGAAGTTATAATGGATGCCAACTCTCACAAAGCAGAGTGTGCTGAAGGGAAATTAAATATTCCTGGTTTCACTCACTTAAAATTAATTTGCCTATGCATCTAGAGGGCTCGACTCTTTAATGGAGCTAATAAGTGGCTTCGTTCGTAGGTGCCGTTGCCGTTTTTTAGTGTAATCCCCCACCATTTGACAAGGCGTGTTATAATGGCAACAAACAATTCTACTGGGCTGTTGCAAGTATCTTAGGTAATCGGTACTGTTTCCAGGTTTTTGAAGTTGTTTAAAAAGTGACTAGAATTATGACTGTGGGTTTATTTATTTGTGGTCAAAGTTTGCATTTGCGTTTTCCGTGTGAAGACTCAATCACTCGTGTGTTTATTGCGAACGACAATGACACACGCGATCAGCTGTCTCGGTTCCAAGCGGTATCACTGCGTCATCCAAGTGGCCTCATTAACAGGAGTAGTTAAGGTTTCATGGAGCCTAAATCAAAACGAATTTCTTATAACTAAAAGTTTGCGTGTAATTGAAGATAGGATTTTGCCGGTTCGGTGTTCTTCACTACCAACGTTGCTTTTGCGTTTCGGATAAAGGCCTGCACTAGTATCCACAGCACAGTTAAGTAAGCGGGTTGAAGTAGAATTTGTGTAATCAAAGTACAGGGCTTGACACCACTAAAGCGCGTTGTGTGTTACAGAGATGTTTGGGGACCTCGCCAGACACACGGAGTTTGCTGAATCCTCGCAGCGCAAGAGCCGTCACCAGCTTGGCCCAGCCTGACCATCGGGGAGCTTTCTATCAACCCTACTTTCACGGATTATTCCTCTCCACCTCTGAAGTAAATGAATAGTGGACCTCCGATATGAGGGGACAATGTGCCCGTGTTGCTGAGCACCCTCGTCTCTCGCTCAATCGAAAATCGCCATGATGGATGCTTTGTTTCCATTTATGCGATTTGGCGACGACAGAGTCACTAAATACCAGCTGATAGGTTACAGCATATCCATTGTGCAGTTTGGGCAACTTGTTGGCAATGCGCAATGCAGTAGCAAGTCACTTCGACAAACGAACTAATAGCATCTTAGACATCGGTTTGTACTATGAGACCGTTGTTCAAATTATCCGGATGCCCTTAACCAAGAGTCTGAAAATAGCGCTATATGCATACGAGGAGAGCAAAGACAAGTAAACACGTGGTTTTTGAAAAAAAGTTTGACAGATAAACCTGGCTAGACCAATGACACACGAGGACACAAGACACCAGCAGAAGTGAAAGTGAGAGTGCAAGTTTTTTGATTATCACAATTGCGCTAATTTAATAGCATATCATATGAAATAGTAAGTTTGTTTAAGTAGGAGAATACCATTAAATTGTAATTGAATCGAGCCGTCATGCTGATGCTGTACACATGTATACACATTCTTTAGCATTACCTGTCTACTTAATACACATAAGTAGGTGTAAAATGTAAGCACTGTTACGGCAAAGGTCATGCTTATGCAAGGATGATTGCTGCTTCTTGAAGCTGTAACTTTACGTCATGGGTAGCAGAATAAATGCAACTTTGGGAGGTGGGAACAAGATTTCCTTTAGACTAGTTCGTTTCCTCTTTAATAACTGGAGACGAAGACGTCGGAGAAGATGCGCTCACATTTCCAGTAGATTGTTTTTCATTTGTCGGGGAGGATGGAGATGAGGTAAGGGCTGGGGGGTCGCTATTATCTTCTTTTGATACCTCGGGAGAGTGGTGCGCAGACGCCTCTTCGGAAGTGTGGAACTCCGTGCCGGAAGTGGCCGGCAACGTTTGTGTCGGCTGCGGCGGTGGCGGCGGCGGTGGTGGTGGTCGGGGTGCCAGAATGGTCAGTCCGCTGTTTCCCAGAGTGGCTGCCAGGGTGGCCCCAGCTGGACGGATCATGAGACCGGACGGGACGATGATGCTGCTGGCAGGCGACTGGACCACGCTGTTGCCGTTGGAAAGCACAGTCGGCTGGTTGGCAGCGGCTGCAGCTGCTACAGCAGCCGCAACGAACGCGGAGGTGTCGCTTGCCGTTGTCGAAGGCGTATCAGGAGCCGTAGGGGGCATTGGCTTCGGAAGACCATTGTTTGAAGTTCTGGCGCGCTTGTTCGCGAACCATTTCTTCACCTAATCAAAACAAAAAACAATTCAAATGAGTGATTTATCAGGCATTGCATCGGTAGGTTGTTTATTGAGTATTTCATGAACGTAAAACCTTTTCGAAGATCACCGATATAATTTGCTTTCATAGTTAATTGCTATTCAACTCGAAAGAAACAGACCGTCAAGACCCTTTAACAATGTTATTCGTCAAACCTACACGCTATGCAGGCGTGCGTAATATCATTGTTAGAGTGGCTTTGTGAGTCACGATTTCCTAGAATGCTGATGTACTTCTCGCTGGTAAGCAATGCTCTGGTTTGAACTAATTGTGGAAATCCGCAATATCTTGTACTGAGTGTTAGGATGTCTTTACTAGAAAGCAGTAGCATAAGCTGGAGTCTTCCCCCTTGACAAAGTCCACTTGGCTAGAGTGAGCTTACTTGAGTTCACTTCAAAAATTTGAGTTTTCTGTGATTTTGCGAGCTCTTCAAAGACGTGCTGAGCGTCTGTATTAGCTTCGGCGATATTTTCTATTGGTGCAAAGTTTTTAAAATTTAACAACACACTTCCTGCACCCTAGATTATATCAACTCGTTCGAGATGACAGGCGCGCGAACCTGTACGCACACAGGAATCCTCTTACCCAGACAGAGTGCGTGTATTTCCGCACACACCCGGATGGTTCCTCCCCCACTGCCCCACACACTCATGTGCGTGCACATGCTATCGATTGGGCCCACCACCAGCCTCCTCCTTCTCCTTTGCCTACCTTCCTTTCCCTAATGCACACATGCACGCACGCGCGCAGGCCTAGCAACTTGCTCGCGTACCAAAATCAATATTTGCACACGTCCGCACCCATACACTCGCTCGACGCGTGTGTGCTGAGGTCGCTGTATTCCCATTGGCGCGATATTGTGGCCAATCCCGCTTGAGGACACGTTTCGCGCCTTGTGCGTACGCGCACCAGAAGACGCCCAGTCCGTACACACGCATTATGGGCAAATGGAGCGTGCACGCATGGGCCAACTGACATGTGTTCAGATTCACTCAAGTGTGTTGTTACGGAGAGGTTGTGTACCTACCTGGGAGTAAGTGAGTTCGGACTTCTGAGCAAGCATTTTGGTATCTTCTGTGGATGGATAGGGCTTGTAGTGGTGGGAGTTGTACCAGTCAGTTAGAATGCGGTTTTGAAGGGCGGTGAAATTTTGCCGATGGGGACGAGTACCCAGCCCACTGCTGGAGCGACGGTTTGACTTTGAGAGTTTCCGAATCCCCGTTGTGCTAAGAGGAGATCCGGACTCATCAATTTCTGGGTGGCTGCCAAGCGTGACTTCCTCACCAACCTCTTCGCCTTCTAGGCCGGTAGTCAGAGAAGTGTCCGTGTCCGTTCCCCCTCCAACCTCCTCTAAACTGGCGCAACTGGTGACTTCGCGTAGGGGCTGGGAGATGAGTAGGGGAGACGTTTCGTTTCTGGAAACAGACGAGACCACCGTAACTGGGGCGACAGAGCCATTGATAGATTGGGCTTGGGTGGACGCCGGGGTTCTAAACTGCAGTGCAGGTTGAGCAACAATGTTGAGGGGGTTGCCGGCGGCAGCGGCGGCGGCAGTCGCAAAGAGGGCCGCTTCGAATGGCAGTTGTGCCGGATGTGGCTGCGTTGGCTGGGCTGCCCGCTGTTGGATAGTTGAGCTGGTTTCAGCCGAGAAGCGGTGAATGGGAGTTGAGGCAGATGTGGGCACAGGAGCACCACCCAAGCTGGTAACGAAATTAGCTAGACTGTTGGGTGGAGTGCAGTTTGTGAAGGTAAACGAACCCAAGCCGGTCGGTTGTCCTGGCATCAGGTTCGCCACTGGAATAACTAAAAATCAGCAACGTGTTAGCGATGATCACCCTCACACAAATCAATCACGCTAGCAAATCTGAATGAATGAAAGTAGCCAATCAATCCCAAAGCATTATGGAGCCGCATGCGATGTGGGCTTCCAACTTTCTTGTACAAAGCTAGTGCCTTAAGGCAAAGTCGCATGATTTAAACACGTTAAATTGAAATCAGCCGTACAACTACATTCAGGTACCAAATTAGGTAAGGTGATTAATCGTGTTATGTTGCATCGACAAGGCAGAGACCCGCCTCTACGTAATTACATGCAAGGCGGGCTCTACTCAACGAAATCAATGAAACGCCCCGATGCGCACGCGCACTAAATTAGCAATTCTGATTTGAGCACCACTCATGGCTATTATCCACACTCGCGTGCATAAATTAATCGTGCTCACATTCACCAGTTGGCAGGCTGATTCCCTTAAGGGAATTCGCTGTCGTGGGAGGTGCAAGAGCAGAGGCCAGTGCAAGTCCGGCACTGGAGAAGCTTATGGCGCCGGAGTTGAGACCGTCAACTGCAGCGGCGACAAGGGGTGTTGCAGTGGAGGTGGTACTCGTGATCAGGGAGGAGGCTGGGTGGAGCAACATCTGGGACGAAATCGCCTCATGCAGGGGGTCCTTGGGTGGGTTTGAGGACTTAACATTTGCCAGCGCCGATATCAGCGCTTGAAGTTGAGAGAAATTAACCAGTTGAGATGTTGATACTTGCTTTACGGGGTTTGCCTCGGCCTTGGTGATATCGAATGATGGGGTGGACTGAGGCTGGGCAGAGGGTAAGCCGATCGTGATCTGCTGCACTCCAGCAGGGGGCGGAAAAACGGCTCCGGTAAGCTGGGCCATCAGAGCAGAGCGCAGTGAGTCAAGACCGCTGGTAGTTGATGATTGTAATTGGTCGGCTTGAATTAGATCCGCCAACTTAAGTTCCGCCGTCTTTACTTGTGTTTGCAGAGGTTGCTGAGGGTCGACTGCAGGCCTTACCTATTGCAAATAAAATCCCTAAGTAACCTTATGAATTCGCACAACACAGAAAAAATTTGCAGCTGTTACCGTGTTGATTAGTAGCACATTAATGACTCAAACCACGTCACACTTATGCTTCGTACAAGTTCAAAAGCAAAATAAATTCGAGAGACATTCTGGTCCATCTAAAGTTCTGTTATTGTTTGGAATTTGTGATTCATTAGAACCGAAACTGATCAAATTTGGAAAAGCATTGTGCTAACAGAATGTCAACATGGATGTGAATGGTTGAGTTCGAAATCAAACGATAACGAGAATTTAGTGCAAAGTTGTGCTGTGCTTAAGAAAAGGAAGTTAGTTGGTAGTACTTAAAGTTGCCCGTTGGCAGTGCCACATCCGTAGGGCTCTCCTTGGATCACCATTTCAGCAAGAAAATCATCCACTCAATTCACAACACGCTTAAAATTATTCATGCGACGACTTTACTGGGAGGTATGCGATAGCAGTACACAGAGTTGCTTTTCAGGCCTATCCCACCTCGTCGGTGAGCAGCTCGTCTAAGCAGCCACACAATTAACTGTGATCCATATGGTAGAGGATTGACTTTGAAGTAAATTCCTGATAACTCTCATTTATCGTTTGAGGCGAATTAATACCACCACCCGCCTTAATGTTGACGTCCCCGCTGGGTGCCGCTGCTGCTGCTGCTTTGCGTGAGTCATTCCCCCATGCGGACACAACCGAAGATGACCGTAAGCTGGAGTAATGATGGCACTCGTCCCTCCCCTCTCCCTCTGTGCGGACGTAGTGCACGTGTGCATGCGAGGTGTAGCGTGCGTGCATATTCCCGACTCGCGTCAAAGCGTGTGGCGGCGTGCAGCTTTTATCGATTGGGCGTCGTTGTGCCCACACACACTGCCGCACTTTTTCCGCTCGCGTGCACTTCTGAGCCAATCGGAGCGCGCGACAGCTCAGTCCGCATGGCAGCACGCCCTTCGGAGGCCGGGACTGTGTGTGCACGAGTAGGGCGATGCACCTATGCCTCCTCCCTCCCTCCCCCACATTCATCCACCCACCCTCTTACTTTCGCAATCCATCCACGTCCCAAGTCGAATGTGTGTGTGTGTGTGTGCGTTCAGGCTGAAATGTTCCCTACACATGAAAATAAACCAAAATGAGGACGAGTGGGAACACTCCTTTCATTTAAACATGAAGCCAATTATTGATGAATTACCTGGCTTCGAACTGGTTAAACTATCTCAAGGGCAGGGTTATGAAAACTCGCGACAATCTGCGCTGACAGCATTGGCATTAGATGTCCTGGTGTACTAGTTTTCTAAACGGTAGTTAAACGAGAAAATATTCAATCCTTGTTGCATTGACGTGAGGGCCCATTTGTAGTGAACAATAAGGGGCCTTAATGCAGGACTTCGTCCTGTAAATTAAGCTACGAACGAGCAGAATCAGTCCCTTGATTGTCGGCGAAGCACCGATCGCGTCCTTGAGTAAATTTTAAGAATACATTAACAGACCCAACACGAAGGCAGAAGAGTTCTTCTGCAGGAAACATCCACTCATTCTGACCTTGCTAAATATGTCAAAATTTGCAATTAGCAGCACAATTATAAATGACACCTTCGAAACGGCAAAACTGTTAGTGGTTCGTTTTAGCCTTTGGGTTCAGTGTTTGAGTACCGGTAAATGGATTTGAATATATGAGCGGGACATTCGATCCCAAAGTCACCGCCTGAGAGTCTGCCTGAATTAGAGCCCAGCTGGCAAAGGGGAATAGAAAAAGAGACAGTGAGAGAGACTTAAGGTGTCCAACAAAAACGATGCTGCGCCATCACAAAGACCCGTCGAATAGCCCAAACGTGTCAGCAGATGAAGGGGTTTGATACCCTGTGGTATTAACTCTGACTTGGACAGACAAACTGAGCTATCAACCATGTGCCGCCTCATTCTGTTTCACTGGCACCCCCGCCTAGCAAGTCTATCTGAGCTTTTACAACTTTAGACGCGCGTTCTCACTGAATTAGAAGTTAATCATCCGTCTTATCCAGAAGGCAATTGGTTTAACAAAAAATGTTTACACTGAGTTTGGAAATTAAACAAGACAAAACGATGACCCGCATAACAAGAAATTAACTGACTGATTCCTCAATAATTCAGGGCAAACAGGAGTTGGAGGAGACATGCGCAGACCATAAGTCGGAAATTGCACCTAAGGCCCGGACAAATTGGCACCTGCCTTGCAAAAGCGCGATCCAGCTAAACCCGCCTGATAGTAACCGCACCCCTGCCCCCCCAACCGAGCATGGCAACCACAAACCACCTGTCCGCTCCTGATCCCATGCTCCTCGTGGTCGTCTCAAGCACCTGCCTTCGCCGCAAAGTGGCAACATGGGGGCACCGCTCGTGTCCATGTGGTCACCTATGAGGCATCGTCAGTGCATCTGGATTGTGTTAGCGTCTTTCATGCCGACAGTGACACAGCCAATTTAATTAAATCGACTGCAAGATACGCCTTATCTTATGACTGACACAAATGGAGTGCTCCATGTTGCTACAGGTAATCGGAAACAACCTAAGCGCATTAATTCTCCGTTATATCTGTACCTGAGCACTCAAAACTTGCAGCCATACAAACCTGGCCTATTTCATGCCTGATTGGGGTTTAAAATCTAGCCTTCGCTAAGGACCCCCAAATAGTCAAAATTCACGTGACTGAAGTAGTTAAAAAGTGGCTTGACTTATCATTTTTTGGACGAAACGTTTTGAGTTGGTCTCAGCGTGTTCAAATCGGCGGTACCCGCCACTAGTGCTATGTCGGTAAGACGTTTTCTATGCCCAACGTCCTCGCTAGGTGGCAAAAGCCCCGGGCACGCATTGGTGCATCTTGAGGGTGGGCGCGCGTAATTAAGACCGAGTCTACTTACTGACATGTCGAGCGCCTGCTCACCAGAGAGGGGAAGAGGAGCGGTGCCGCCGAGTTCAATTCGGCCCTGCCCAGCTGCGGCTGCTGCGAGCAACTGAGTAACGAGGTTCTTGGCCGAATTCGCGTCCATCATAATGGCTGTGGTGACTTTGGGAGTGGTGTTGGAAACCTCATCCACTTCGCCCATTGCGTTAGCTGCGTGCTGCTGCTGCTGCTGCTGCTGTGCATGCTGACACTTAAGCACCTCCACAAGGTCATTAACATTGCAAACCATGGCCGAATGTGGGCGAATGTGTGTGGCTGCCTGCTGTACCTCGCCATTCACCATCGGTGGCTCTAACTTCCTCTTCTTGCACATCTGTTCCACCAGATCCTCAGCGTCACCATTCACAGTTAGGGCTAACGCGCGTAGCTTTCCCTTGAAAAAAAAATTCCACAATAAAATTGGGAATTTGTTAATAAGCACATTATTTCTACCTACTTAAAGTATTAAAACTAGTAAAAAGGTAAAAAGTACTGTGAAATGTGAAAAATAAGACTGTTCTCAAATAAATGCTCTTTCACCCTGATTGGACACGGCCACATTAATACGCGTGCCGCGTTCAATGGCCACTGGTCCAGAAGGCGACTCAGGTACCAGCGCGCGCGACGTGAGCACTCTTAACCAATTAAATTAATGACAGGACTATGCCAATGGAGTCACGCAAAAATTCCTTCCTTTTCGAAATTTTTCTAAAATTTTTACAATGACTAATTGAAGTAGATTAAATGAGACCACTTTTAGAATCTTAAGTATCCAGAACTTGTTTTTTTTGTCAGAATGCACAAAGAATGAGTGTCAATTGCTCCCAATATCAACAATTCCAACATTAATTCCAACAGGCCCTTCCACAAATTTGTTAAGATGAACTTTGACACTTTACAACAATGCTCCACATGGTTTCAAGGCGATAGAAACAGAGCATTAAGGTGTCTTCACGTCAAGGGAATAAAGTGAATATTGCATCATTCGACAGAGTCAATAAACACTAAGGAGAATATCGTGCACCAGATGCCCGTGTAGGTTTTATTTCGAAAGTTATCTAACCAGTGTAAGCACATCTCTGGTACGCTCTTAACTGCCTTTTTCGCAGAGAGCTCAAAGTCTACGAGAGCGGGAGTTTAGTGAAACGCAACAGTTTTGCGCAGTGAGTGGACGCGCACACGCACGAGGGTGCAACTTTGGCGCAGACATCTGTATGGTGGCTGAGTTGCTTAAGTTTGCAATCGCTTGCTTGCGGACGGCCAACTAAGCGCTGCAGCGTGCGAGCAGGAGCACGGGTCGATATTCGTTTTCGCACAGCAATCCGCCACGTCTTCTTCGGCGGCTTGCGTCGCGAGTGCACGGGCGAATTCCCAGAGAAAGCGACTGCTCCGTCAGGAAGTGAGTCAGGCGCTGTGCAGCCAACCCTCTCCCCCCCCCCACTACCACCACCCGCACTGCCACATGGGGACCGGAGCTCGCGTCAGTTACTAAGGCGCTCAAGGCGACATGTACATAAACAAATGTGGCCAACATGAGTGTGATATTTAGTAGGCATCGTAGTTGGGTAGAGGGGAAGTTTCAGACAGGTGCTACTGACTGCAGTGTAGAACGCGAGGCCTAATTAACTGACTTCAAGGGGGAATATTGATTCAAACAAACTTGACGGTATCATAGACTCAGAGTAAACACTGTCAGGTTTTCCTATTCGCTTTTAAAGGCAGTGCTAGTACCAAGGTATCCCTAGCATTTAAACGAGGATAAAACCGTGTGAAGCCTAATCGAAGCTTCAAGTTACCCAGAGGAAACCTAAAAGTGCAAATGGGTTTGTTTATAAGCAATTTCGTTTATGGACAGTCAAGATCCCAAGAATTTGACTGACTCTACCCTACCATTTCATAACTAGAGAAAAATGATACGGTCTCATCACCCATAGAGAAATGCATGCATTAATCGGCTACCTGGTGACTCTGGTAATGGAGATTCGAAAAGTCTAGGTTGTATTGCATTCTCGGAATCCGCGTATCAGTTAACTAGAAACCAGAAAAAATTTCTATTCTCTGATGATGGTGACTCTATAATAAGACACAACAGAGGATGGGCATTTCACTTTACAACCCACGCAATCACTTTTCCGGTTGTGTATTTTTGCACACGTGTGCACACACGGGTAACACATCACCGCAGCTCAGGATTGCACCAAACCTGGGCGTCTCTTTTCCCCACCAATCACCCCGCACTTCTGCTGTCACCGTCATAGCCCGGTCAGAGCGCTCGCGTGTGTCAGTGCGAAGCGCACACGCACGCACGCACTTCACCCGAGTATTTACGCGCGCGCGTGCATTCGACCGAACCGTGTTAATGTGCACATAGCGCGCTTGATGATGGGAACATCGGCGGGAGGGGGAGGGGGAATGTGGGCACAGTTGCCGCCAGAGCTGTGTGTGCTGCGAGGACGCAGGATCAATAACCAGACACACGTGCGCACGAAGACGCCCACCTGGCAAACTCTGTTGTGCGCACGCATGCAAGAGTGTGCCTATGTGGTGCCAAGGGCAAGGGGAAAGTGATGAATAGCTGTGTGTGTGTGTGTGTTTGTGCCCAAACATTCGCGCAAAATGCATAGATGACGGACATAGCTCAGGCGCTGCCTTTGAAGACGGAAATGCTTACGGGTGGAGGAGGTGATGTATAATTAATGACCCAGCAACGTGGAAAGCACCCTGAAGAACAGTTGCTTCTGTGAGCTACCGGCCCTGTCTGATAGGCCAAATCTAACAGCAATGAGCTTACTCTCCCCTAACTGCTCAGCTCTTGTGCCACGAACAGGTTACAGAAGGTGAAGCTGTCACTACTAGTCTAGATGAGCATGAACGCTGTAAGCCGTGTGGGCCACCGTTTATCGCTTTATCCTTAAGTCCGAATTAGAAACGTAGTGGATTTACGTGAAAAAGGTCTGTGCAGGAAGAAAGTAATATTTGCCAGCTAATGAGTAAAGTTGTGTTTGAATAATTAGTAGTCAGTATTCACTGTAGAAGTAAAGGTCAGTGAGGAGAAAGAGAGGAATACTGGACTGCTCACGCACCGGCCAATTTGTGAGTGAGAAAGTTAGAGTAGCTGCTGAAACCTAAAGACCGGAAGTAGTTAGTCAGTAGACGTTAATTGCTCTCCCGCCAACACTTGAGTACTCGCTCGATAAACGATTCTGCTTTCATGCTCAACGGAAATTGTGTGACTTAGTTGAGCTAACCTTTTCATTCACTCGGGCACAACCTACCACACACACACCGATTCACCTTGGCAACGACCACAAAACAGGGTAGGTGCGGGCTAGGTAGAAATATGCATCACAACACCTAAATAAACCAGATGTCTACCGGGAACGTCGTCTAAATATGGAGACGTCTACCAGTTACCACCTCACTGAAGTGTATGCTCTGGCTAATTTTTGCTAAGTAGCGCTTAACCTCGAAGGCAACTTCAACAATCGAGATCGAGCTGGCGAATCAGAGGTATGGGTAAACTCGAGATGGTGCGGGGGAAGTCGTATCGTTGGAATTGTCGAGCCCACAATCTCTAGTGCCCTGAGTGAAGCGTTAAAACGAGACAATTAAACTGTCTGCATTTTAGTCGATTGGTCTTCACGGAGGTGTCTCGGGCGTCGTCCGCAAATCATCCACATATTAACCACAGATTGAAAAAGCAAGTGTTTGCTGGGAACCGAAACTTACAAATCCCCACATTTAGATACGCATACATCGACAAAGCTCGTAGCCAACATAGAGGCAGTAGAAGATCTTGAGCGCTTCGACTGACTACGAACCAGTCAAGGGATTGGGATTGCAGAATGAACACCCAAGTGACTGATTATCATTGTGAAAGTAGATTTACAAGCCAAGTACAGCCGTCCATCATTTACCCTCGCAGACGCGTGCATGTACGCTGATGTGCACGCATATACACTCACACTTCACCGAGTTTAGTCCGAGAGAGAGTCTGTTTACATTAAGAGCGCTCTCATCTCATCAGGTGTGTCGGCCAGGGCGCCGCCACACGCACGCACGCGCGCACGCGAGACTTGAACGGTGTTCATAATTGAGAAAGTTGGACTCGCGTAAGCGCACGCTGCCACCATGTGATTACAGTTTATATAATCAAAGCCTTGCATGTGTCCGCGCGTTCGCGAGTACCAGCACTCAGGCGGGGCACTGCAGCTGGTCGCATAAACACACACACACACGTTTCGAGCTTGCAAAATCAATGGATTTGCCAAACGGCAATCCTAACGCAGTCTTGACCTATGAATGCAGATTCATAGCTAAATTGCTGCTATTCATTACTTAGAGACATTATCTATACACACATTGCCTCAAGTCATTACATCCACGGTCCAATGATTTGGAGTGGACTTTAATTGTTGAAATTGGCAACCACGTACCAAAGTGCGTTGTCGTGACGCAAAAGACTTGAATTATAGTCGTTACTTCTTTATAAAACACGAGTAAACTCAAAACACCACTACATAACTACGTCAATCCTCTCATGTCAAATCTAAAGAACTGAATTTTAGATGCTCAACTAACTCAGGTGTGCTAATAAGCTATTGCCGATAAGGCACACAGACATGTTGACAGCTTTTAACCTGCTCATCAACATCACCACATTAATCAGGAGAGTGGAGATTTACGGAAGAATAGCTCGAGTCTTTTCGAATCGCTCAGGCTTACAGGCGTGAGTATTGTCACTGGCCTGGCAACACAAAGATCAGTATAAGTGTCCAAAAGGCGCAAATACCCGAGAAATTTTGTCCTTTACTAAAATCAAGTCGGTGGACACTCCTCTGCATTACAGGAGCCCTTCCCTGGGATCTTAGATCACATGGATAATGGCTGGGATCTATTTCGAACGCCGTAAGCATGCACAGCACAGCTGGTGTCCACATAGATTTGCCTGTTTCAGAAGAATTTCATTATCATGTCATACAGTTTTTGCTTAATACATTACTCACACACTGTACAAATCTATGGTTCTAGATCAAGTTCCCGTGTGACTCAAGTCCTTCTTATGTGCTTTGAAAGTTGCGAATAGGCTTTTTGTAATGCGGCGTCAGATACTGATCGAACTGGACTGATTTTATTGTACATTATATTTATCGAGGAGTAGGACAAAAGGCGAAAGTAGACATTTGACAACTTACGTCACTGCACTTTATAAAGCGACTTAATTCAAGATCTTGTCAGTTGTCAAATCCCGTAAAGCTTTCTTCCTTAGTATCATTAATCATAGACCAAAACGATAGACTGGATTGTCTTCTATGACTTCCTTGGGATTATACAATCGAGAAAATATCACCAGCCATGGTTTATGTGTGAAAACCATTCACCGTTCTGAGGGTCAAAGAGCGGTGAAAGTGTAGAGTGCGCAACTCAAGAGAAAGTCGAACCTGCGTCCACATACAAGTAAACAACCTATATCTCATAGGCATGGGTGTGGACTTTGCGCTCAGACCACGAGTAGCGAATCCATATGCGCGGCACGGCTAGAATTAATTCATGAACACAAAATTTGGCCACTGCGCCCCCCACTGAATGAGCAAGGTGATAATTAGACCCATGAATAGGTAAGGGGGAGTTAACGTTTAAGCCGGTCCCAATATTTTCATGAGTGGGGAACACGCTGGCTCCTTTGTTATGTTTAAATTGATCCGTTTCCCACTGCGTGGACAGAATAAAGTAAACAAACCAGATTACCTATTGATTTCACCATCTGGACCTGATATTTGAGGTGTTAGGGTGTAATCCTCCCCAGTTAGGCTCAATCAGCCAATTGGCATTTGAGTATTGCTACACTACCAATTGAAAAGCGAAGCGCAGACCACTTCTCACACGCGTGCGTGAGCAGGGGCGGATTGGTCCTTTATTGGAGAAATGCGGATGTGCGCACAAGCATGCGTTTTTTCGATTCGCGCCTGAGTGGAACTCTAGCACCGACGGCCATTGGCATAAAGCCGCTCCTCTCGGACCCATGTGACATGAGTCATCATGCAAGAGAGGGGGGACGAAAACCCACGGTACGCAGCGCTCATTAGGGCCCTGCAGGGGGGAGGGGAACGGCGTTTGGAGCTGGACGCGCCGCCGTGAATGCATGTGACTCGAGTGAACAAAGGCCCCAATGGACTTCCACACCCCTCTCCAAACTCCCGGTAGAGCATTGGTAGCGAACCCGACAGTCACTGAGAGCCGCAAGCAGGGGCTCGCATCAGTGCTATGACCGTTGTTGAGTGACAAGGACAGGTTGTTCCAAAGCGCATGGTAATTCCCAGTTAAAAATAGGTGGTTGTTATCAAATTTGAAGACTTAAGAATGGGAAAAACCGTAGCATCTCAACGATACATTTCCTAGAGATTTTAGAAAATATGGTCCAAGTGTTTCAAGTATCTTTAAGGAGAATTTAGAATTAAACTTAAAATCAGAAGAATCAGATGAAGAAGGGCCAAGATTCAGCGTACGTGGTAAACTTTAGTGGCACCTGTTCATCTGAGCATCGATTTTTCTACAACAGCGTGGAGCGGATATGGACTTTTTGTGCTCAGCATATAAAGGACGAAAAAAATCAATTACAGAGCTGTGTCTCAAAGCAGATGTATTAATGATAATGAATACCCCAAATTACGGTGTCGGTTAGGGAAATAAGAAACATTAAGATTACAAAATTATGTATGTGAAGACCTTGACGTCGCAGCTAAATCTAAAATCACTGGTAATCATTGGGTACTTAAATTATTTCCTTGAAGCTGAAGTAAGCATTTAGCAACAGATCCACCACTAGAATATTATTGAAATGTCGGATGAAGTTTTCAAACTCTAGACGAAGGAGCAAATAAACACTGTAAAGTGATTATGAAGAGATTGTGCAGAAGTAATCATTATTGATACCATCCAAAGATAATGCAGTAAATGCACGAAAATTTGCCTAGCGAAACTGCATCGAAATCGGTTAAATAACGGAGACCAGCAGTAGCAACTCCATTACTAAACATACCCATTTATCTTCTGCACTCAACCACGCCCATACTGATAATCACTTTACATGGTTATTTGAAAATTCCAAGTAACTTGACACGAAATGTAAACAAGTTCCAAAAGCACGTTCTGATATACATTTGCAGGATAATTTCCAAGACATTCACTCTCCTTCTACCCGAAGGCATAAATTCTTACACGCGCTCCCAGGATGGCTTCACCGGATCAGCTCCTTGTCAGTATTGCTTTAAGTATTGCTTTTAGTATTGCTTAAAGTGTTTCGTCAAAAAATGTTCACAATAGGACTGGATGGTAAATTTACTTTCCAATGGTTGCCGTCAAGACGTGACAAGATTTCGTGGGAGAAACCTGCTTCACGCGAACTGGCTGGGTTTGTGAAATGAAAGAGTGCTACCATCAAGGTAAACCGCAAAGCTATGACGTTCATGCGTGGACGAGTCTTGAAATAACCCCAATCCCAATATATCAGAAGGGGCTTTCCAAGTTGCATAAAGTCATGCAGTCTATCCTAACACACAATTGGCTGAGTTTACCATCCATGTAAATTTCTTTTTTGAATGCTTCAAGCAAAGTCCACTAAACCTATCACTCTTATTGTCTACTAAACATCAGTTAAACCCAAATAAATATGCGCCAATATCCTGCTGCTCTCAGTAGTTTCAGATGGGTAACCGAAAAATTAAATGAAGCTAATTCGTGAGGAGTATTATCAGATTTATTGCAAAACTTTTTAACAAATGCGTTTTCCTATTAATAGGGGTCGGCATCAGAACTTTTCGTACACAAATAAACCCGATTTCTGGAAAACTGGACCTCACTTGAAATATCAAACATTTCTCAGACACATAAAATAAGGTGGAAATCATGAGCTCGTGAATGGTTCAGGTCTTGCAAAATAATCGGCGAAAATCGGTCAGCGAAACCTATCAGTCATATGACTTCAAACCATGCTAGAGAGCTAGTGACAAAAAGGAACTTAACCTGGACAAATGTTCACGTTAATAACGCTGTAAAGTGCCAGCATCCAGTAATTTAAATAACAGCAACATTATTTTTAATAAATCAGGCTGATTTTCACTTTTATAGAGGTAATTGGGAGAGTTATGATCCAAACTCATTTCTTCAATGGGAATTGATGTCATGACAATTTTCTACCGGAATTCTTTAAATCCCAGTTGCACTGCTTGATTATCAATGTGCATTTTTCTTTCAGACTCTTGACATATCTGGAAACATATTTTAACCTATCCAATATTAACGCAAAAATATGAGGTAAAAATCGTAGCACTTGAAAGTAATGCCATCAGTTTATATGGTCATGGACCAAAAATGTTCAAACAAAATACTGTTCATTCGAATTGACAAGTAGTACCTCACTTAATAGTTATTTTATGGGCGTCGTGCAAATACGTTAAAGGCAAAAATCCAGCTTACAGGGGTTGTGGCTTTTCGGCGGCGAGAGCCTTGCACGGCATTAGCTTTATCAGGATTTGAGTAAACGGGTTCTGTTTCGATAGACAGCTGATTCGTGTCACTGTTGGTGGAAGGAATCGAGTGGGAAGGAGGCGAAGACTGGGATGGTACGACAGAAATAGAAGCTGTGGGTTGTGGAGTAAAACTGGAAGGTGGCGGCTGGGGAGGTGGTGGACTGGTTAATCCCACACGTAAGCTACCAACAGTTGCTGCTGGAGACGAAATGGTGAATGGTATTGTCATAGCAGCAGCGGGAGTTGGTTCAGACTTATAAATCATGTGACGTGTCTCCAAAAACTTGTATGAGGATGCCTGCAACATTCAAAATTTAAAACAGAAAAATTGCTACTTCGTAGCAACAAAAACTAATTGATATAGCAAACTAATACAAATATGACATTAGCGTTTTTTCCCCTTAAAATTAATATGTAGGCGAACTGGACCAACGGGAACATATTATGCATGATGAAAAACGCATGTCAAGCTAAACTTACCTCAAAATTAAAATGGTAAAGTTTCATATGTTCGTCAAGCAAATTTCTTTCGGTCGAAGAGCTTCCACATTGAGGACAGGAGAGTAATACTATTGACTCATTAGCTGGATGATGGCTTTTAATGTGATCTTTTAAAGTTGAAAGTAACAACGTTGAAAAATCACACGATGAACAACGAAGTACGTGAACATAATTGCCAGAACCACTTGGAGTTCTTGCAAGTATAATCGACACAGGACGACTGTTGTTACTGGAGTCAGTGTCGCTTTTTAGAATACACGATGAGGCTTCAACATTAGCAACTTTGTAATTGGTCATGTTAAGACTAAATGTAGAAGGCATCAAGGACTTGGGGTCTGCACACTGAAGCGTTTCCATTGTTGAACGACACAGGTACCAATCACGACTGTCTTAACAAAAATACAGAGTGCGCGCTCTTCGAAAGACTCTAGTTGTCGAGCTACAAATAAATCACAATAGCATGTAAAACAAAATACAAGGTTATATTAACCATTAGAAACTTTCTATTAGATACAAACTTTGTAATGTATAAAATGTGCATTATTTTTGACAACAATAATTTATTTAAAAACCACAAATAATTTAATTAGCGATTTGCAACGATTTAGAGCTGATTCCGTGCTGCATAAAACTTGGGGAAAGGCAATATCTAGGATTTACCTCTAATTCAGATTTAATTCATTTAATGTTAATTATTTTTTGAAATGTAACCGCAAAGTTCGAAAATTGCTTGTTCGTGCTATCGAATTAAACGTATACACAAATAGACGAAGCCAGTTTTGTATAAATGCGAATAAACTTGCATAAATTAAAGAGCACGAAAACGGTGAACAATAAAACATTTGCCATATTTGAAAAGACAATAACATTCTAATAATGCATATGTGACATAATATGGAAGAAAACTGTCGAGCAAAGCCCCATATTAAGGAATTCCTCTAAATATTGTTTGAATGTCGATATTGCGTAACTTTAAATAACTGGCAAAAGAGGAGAGGAAGGTTAATAGCAAAACGCCGTAGTAAGTAATTTACTTGACAGTGCTTAGTTTTGTGATGTACAGGTAAATGGATGGGCAGTGTAGACGTGGTAGATATTTCGACAGTGCGGTGAACCGGAATGTCTAGAGGGGGAATGAAATCCACAGTGTTAAGGGAACGCGTTGTTTCGACTTTGAGTTCGAGGTTGGTTAAATGAAGGATTAGGGAAAAGGGGAACATTTTAGAGGTAGGCAGGTTGCGGAATGACTTTATGTAGTGACTAGACGAGCCATATTAACGCAGGAGTTATAAAGTTTAAAGTAGCTCTTGCGGGTAGGGTAACATTTCTGCAACCAAATCAAATCTCCGGGTAGGCAGAGAGGTTTTATTCATGACGGTTGGAGAATAGTTTTAAATGACCATAACAAGATCGTATCTTTTGTTATAAAAAATACACTAGTTAGGCTAATTAGATGCTCAGGTTGGGAGCCTTCTCATAAGGAGTAAAGCTGGTGGACTGATGAAAATCAGAACCGTAGAATGGCCGACAGTGCGGTAGAGGCCGATAATAAATGTTGATACTGGCTGGGATAAAAGGTATCTGTTGGTTCTTTCCGTATGGCAGTTGTTTATTGGTTGGCAAAAAGCAGTGCGTAAATTTACACAGGGCACTGCCTTGATAAGGGCTTTAATGAGTTAACGTTCAAATTTAAGTATTTCGGCAAGTGAATCAAGGCGCAGCTTGAAACCCAGTTACGCCTATCCGATTCAATTTCGTATGAAAGTTAACTGTGATCAGCAAAGATTAGGAAAGAGAAATAATTGCGACTACTAAAGGCAAAAATGTTAAAGAAAACCTTAACGCATGCCTATTTAAAAACTAATTTTTCCATTTTAAGGTATTTGTCCTGCCCTTATACTACGATAGAATTTTGAAAGCAGTGGTGTTTGCAAAACACACTTTCTATTAAGGTCGTTGGGTTTGTTAGTTTGGTGTGTTCCAATTTAAATCTGAAAAACAAAAGTAATAACTCTAAATGCAATTTAAAGGAAAACAGTCAAGGTCGATCAGCGTTGCCATAATTTCAAACTTGCAAAAACGGGTGTGGGCTGTGCTGCAACGTAAACGAGTAAACCTCCAAAACAACGAAAAAAGGCATGGAGAATGTGGTAGGTTAGTTATTTAGATAACGGTGCATGTATCTACAGACATCACGGAACCTAGTAAGGGAAAGTATACTTATGTGCTAGGGAAATGACCAAACCAATTTCAATAATATTAGTGTACATAAAAGGTCGATAACACTTGTTACCAGAAAAACAGAGTTGAAATATTAAGCAGAATAACTGTCCAAAAAATACATGGAGCGGAAATCAACCTCGAATGTTTAGCATCCGAGTAACGGTCTCTCATTTGGACGCATTCCAAAAGAGTAGATTATCTAGCTTTCGTATCCTGCGACATTACCACAAATTGCGTGGATTTCTTTTCAGAGGCCGGAGCTTTAACTTTGTCATTGATTCATGATTTTGTTTAGTCTTGCACGCCAAATCAGTAAGTGTAAAAAGATGAATAGTATCTCAACGATCTTTTGAGAGCGTCGTCTGCAGTTACATCGTCGTGATTTCAGCAGGCCGAATTTTCTTTCATTATGACTTCCAGTAGTGCTTTATACGCTTGGTCTTTTAACCATTCTTCAGGCACAGGTTTCGCTTTAGCCGTTTCCGCCTTGTTCCTTGTTGCAAATTCTATTTACACTATTATACTCTTTATGCAAAATGGCATAGTTCTCTCTTTGTGTGACCATGACAATTCGTCTTACCGCATATAACCTAGACTCCCTTCGATCAACCTCAAGTAACCCAACATATGGCAATAGCGTCCAGTGAAGATCGGAACCGGATTACAGATACGGATGGTGAGTCCCTGATCCATAACGAATGCAATCACTAATTACCTTAGGTTCGTCGCAAACAAATTCCCCAGTGTAGATTTCCTTTATAACAACTTCCAAGAAGTCTTACTGAGGTATTTGCACTGGGCTGGTTGGTTTTTTACATTTGAGAGTGACTAAGTTGGTTTCATCTTCACTTTTTCAGCCCGGTTGGATTTATTAGTAATTTCACGACTTTTTAGTATGGCGCCATTTTCTAAGTGGAGACTTTGTCTGCGTTTTACTATTAGTATGCTCAAAAGCGGTCGTAGCGGTCAATATTATTACTTTCCATCAGTTAGTATTAGAGCTTTGTTAGTTTTTTTGGGAAGTTTCATAATGTGCTTCTCCATGACAATCATTGTCACTTTTGATATGGTTGCCAGCAATTCGATAAAATTCATCCCCGGAGCTGCAAACGCCTATCTTTGCTGCTTTGTTTTTACCACTTTCGCTATTGTTTTCGGTCAACATTAACGATACAATTTGGCAGTCAGGTATCTATTACAGAATCTCCCTCCGTTTCTGCCGTCTTAACCGAAATATTTTTTATTCAGCTCTTACGTATGATTAACGGTCTTAACAAAGTTAGCTACAAACCAAGGTTATTTGAAACATTACCTTTGCAAAAGGTACGCGGTTTCTGTGTGTTAGAATCATTTGTGTGTGAGGCGCGATCACACGTTTTATTGACATCATATATAAACGCGACAAGTGTCTTTTAATGGCGGCATTATTAGGACATTATAGCAGTAGGATTACTGGATTGCTCTACAAAATATTAGTTCATATTTTGCATGTGATAATCTAAAATTATGAAGACGCCGATTTTCTCTTGAGTAGTACTTACTGTGTTGTGTTGTGTCTCTTTAGACTCAGTCGAACGAATGCGCAATTTCACAGCTCAATGCCTGATAAAGCGGTCTAATTTCCTTCACTGGGACGAATACTTTATGTCACTTGCATTTCTTTCTGCTATGCGAAGTAAGGACCCAGTAACTCAGGTATATCTTAAACTGTACATCCTTACTTGCAGCCGGATGTCATGCAAAATCCATTTATGCACATGAACACTAACTTTGACGAGGGCAGCTTAGTCCACAATACTTAGTAAAATATAACTTGTTCCAACCATTTTGTCACCTGGCTTTCAGAGACTCATATTTTGCCACTAATGTTCATGCTGTATAAATATGAGGAAGTTTAGAACTGTTATCTGATGGCCAACAGCTTCTTCCAAAGAGAGAGAAAGACGCAGTTGGGAGAGTAATTCTCACAACCTGTGTGTTGTTGAAGTTTGTTGTAATCAGTTATTTAATTTGATGTGGACGAAAGCATCAGAAAAGGCGTAAGTTAATGATGACTGGCAGTTATTAAACCGTTAATACATTATCTCATTTGGTTAAATTTGTTCTCCTAGCCAAGTTTATAATCTTGGTTACCATGAATGTCTATGCGGTGATTGTCTAATAATGTCAGGTAACAAAATTCAGGTCGATGCATAGGCATTATATTGACATTTTTGCTCGTTGATACAAGGTCGGGGTGTGTATTATCAACTCTGAAAGGAAGATTGTCTCCGTGGGTTACAATGGCATGCCTATTGGTCTCTCCGATGACGAAATGCCTTGGACAAAAAACATAGAAGACCCCTTACAAAACAAGTCTCTTTATGGTAGGTCCACACGTTTATTATTAACTAGACCTGCTGGATACTTACTGTTAGCCGACTGATATGTCTCTCTTGAGTTTGTCATGCGGAATTGAACGCTGTGCTCAACAAGAACTCGGCCAACGTGAAAGATTGCACTCTCTACGCTACCCTGTTTCCATGCAACGAATGCGCCAAAGTTATCATCCAGTCTGGAATTAGTGAAGTGGTTTACTTCGATGACAAAAAGGTCAATACAGTGTCCAACGATGCCGCCAAGATAATGTTCCTCAAGGCAGGCGTTAAGATGAAGTAAGCCCTGGCTGTTGCTGTCTTCCTTTTAAGTTTAGCAGTGGGACATTAAAAGGCCTGTGCCTTCAACAAGCCTGACACATTACCCGCTCGAGTGTTGCATCTATCGTTCACAATGACCCTGCCAAAGGAAAAGGTTCGAGAAGCCTGTGCAAAATTTACAGATGAAAAAAGGGGGTTAACTTTGTATGCGAACAGTAATCTTTGTTACCTTTGGTGCGGCGTTTCTGTGAAGCCGTGTAGCCGTAATTCTCGTTGGGTCGACTTGTCGAATGTGAACCGATACTAAGCCACTTGGTCAAGACTAAGCAATAAATTTATTGAAAGTGCGTTTTCCTGGGATTGGATGTTTCAGTGGTTGTGTCCGACGGGTACTTGATAATCTGCTAGTCAAAAAATGTTGACACAAGCTATTGTCATCACAAATACAATGGACTGTTCCATAGTGTTACAGTATCAAGCATCAATTTGGCGACAACTGCAGCTTAGAAGAATTCACAGAGTCAAAGGTTTGAAAGTAGAAACTATTTATTCATTCGAAGACTAGCCTCGTAGGGTTCTTGTACGCTAGATACATACTGAAATTTTGAGGTCTCGGTCGCAAAAATGGTGATTTTTCAAACAGTCATAAGACTTTAGTTGTTGGGCAACATGTCTAGTGTTGTGTGCTTGGTAGTTAAGTAAACCAAGATGGAGAGCCTGGTTTCGTGGGATGACTTCGTTCAATTATTGTAAAACGGTGTCACAGGGGCATCTGGCTTTCAACTAAGGTGACTGGCCAATATCGTTAGTTCCTGCTGTTTGATGGTCTGTTCCGCAGCTGTCGACGGAGCATTTGGTTTTTAATCTTCAACAAGCTTTTCGATAGTCTTGGTGGTCCACTCTCCTATCTTCCTAGCAGACCTAGAATCTCTGGCATGGTGCCATGAGTGGCGGTGAGCCATGGGTGGTTGCCATGATGTTAATGTACAAAAACCAGCTTCCCACTGAATTGTCCCGAGACTGTTCAGTCTGCTCTCAAGTCCAAATATAACCCAAATTCCTCGATGTACAGGTAATAGTAACTAAGAAAAAAAAACATTTTGCGCGAAAACGGGTTCACAAATTTTTGACTTGGATCAAGGCAAGCAAAATTCCCTTTGCTTTGGAGGCTTGTGCAAAAGTGCCAATGCCTGATTGTGTTCCGCGGTGAATATATACTGTAAGTTTATCGATACATTAATTATTAAGTTCTGAAGCAAAGCTAAATTGCCTAAGCTTGACTTATTTCCTTTTTAGACCCTTCAAGCGAACAGGTCGCAAAATTACCATTGATCTCAGCTGAATTTTCTCTCACCCCAAATTGCACCAAAATCGTTCAGCATTGCGATATCTTGTGCATTCGATAGTCTGTAAGACAAATTTAATGCCGCATTTATAAATATTTAATCATGTTGGTGTTTGGTCATCGTTAGTATGCAAAGTTATAAGGGGATAAATAACTGGAGCGAGTAAATGGTGAGGGTTTTAATGTGGCCAAAGACCTTCAGTAATGCCTAGCATTTATAGCATGTTAAGTAACCTCACTTACTGAACTTGTTCACAAAGTAACATGTCATTGGTTACTAACCTTTTCTTGTATTTGTTGCCCAATTTGAAATTTTTTCCACACTGTTACCGGACATATTCAAAATATTTTGTACTCGATTCTCACGGACTCATTTAGTTTCTTCCGTCGTTGTGTCTAACATCGCGGGTTTTTGCCAATCTTACTAGTTGTTTGCTCATCAATCTGATTACTCCAAACCCGTTTCCTGGAATTTTATCACTCGTTCATAGTGTTGCATAGTGGTGAGTTCGTTCCCTAACATAACATTCTCTGTTGCTTTGCATTGTTTCACAGTCAAATGACGCCAACTCCTGTCCTCCAAGCGGTATGGAAACTTAGTAAAAAGATACGCGAGTGGCGTTGGCTCCCATTCATTAAGATGACGCATACAACTAGTAAACATTGGGTTTACACGCCCTTATTGGACAGAAAAAGCATTTAGAAAGAACAGCACGAGTTTGCCATAGGCCAAACCGAGGCATGATCTGAGTAAGTGGGTTGGCACACTGTTGTCTGGCGAGTTTGCCCCAAAAAATTTCATTTTTAATGAGAAAAAGGCTTAATAAAATATCATTTTGCGGCAGAGCAGTATTACTTGAATAAAACTTCAGTGCATTCTAAAGCTTTATGGACAAACCCAAATTGGTACTAAACACATGCATCCAAAAAACCGTGCCGCTTACTTGCCCTTTTGTGAAAATATGAGGCCCATTGCCATAATCACAGCCTTCTTTGCTCTAAAACGAACTCTCTACGGTATAAAAACATTTGTACAGCGTTTTAAATGTCGCTCAGGTTTTGATCGGTAAGACATGAATCAATTAGGACCATTTTGGCACAGAAGAAATTATTTGAGGGTTATCTTTACAGTCACAGGCCATTTTGGAGGCTGGATTACTTGTTTCCTATTCAAGCATTATTACGCCTAAGTAACTTCATTTAACATGTTTCCCTCTTGCTTAGCCTTCTGTTTTGAGAAGCCTTTTTGGGTAGTCAATGCCGACCGACATGGGCAACGAAAAACCCCAGACTGTGTCGCGGGACAGCAGTTCAAGTTTTGAGCCAGTTTGAACGGGCTTTTTTATACGATTCGCGCTGCATTTTTGTTAGTACCATAGACGATAAATTGCCCCACGAGGGCAGGGTTAGCTGAACCGTTGAGGACAATAAGACAAACTTTAGCGATTCTTTTAACATAGTAAATGTAATTTTTACAGTTTCCTGGGGTTACAAACTGTTAAGACATCTATTTGTCCTGAACGCACCTTCTTTAAAGCATCACCACATAGACTCGTAATAACTTATTCAGTCAACTGAACATTGGCCGCGAGAGGGAGTTACTCTCTTGCAGGGTGTGCTACAAATACAGAGGTAATCGAATGAAATCCACTTTTCGCAAATGAATTTTCGTGCTATCTTCAGAGAAGTCAAGCATTTTGATCTAGCCTACAAAAAAGCTGGGACTTGCTATCCAATTTTAAATTATAAAGCGTACGAAGTAATAACGGCGACCCACCTAAAATTAGGCATGGCAGGTTTACTTGAGCCCAGGTTACCTTTGCCAAGTGGCACCAGTAGGTAGCCGGATCAAAAGTGCAGCTACACACACTTGAGTCTTAAAATTGATTTTGTGAGTATAAGTACCCTTCTACCCAGGCACAGTGCTTTGTAAAATCCCTCACTATCTACCAACTCGTTTTACTTTGAATAACATAGGGGGCAGACTAGTATACGGGAGTTGCACTATAGACAGAAAGCCCTAAGCTCTTAAAATCCAAACCGTCAAATAAAACAAGTTCATATTTACCGATACAAGTAGGGTGATTTGTCTTCTTGACGCGATAACAAGCCTGATAAATAAATGCAAAATTGTAAAAAAAAGTATTCACATGACAAAATTCATATGCCTTAAGTAACGTCAAAGCTGAAAGACGGTTCTCCCGTATAAAAGTCGAAGTCGCTTATTACTCTCAAAGAACATGCCCCTCCACGGGATCGAAGCTTTGCACGTAGACTTGTACTGAACAAGTACACTCCAGGACGAGGCCCTACCTTGCACCAATCAACCTCCTGGTCGATCTTGATTGGCTTAAATGGTCCCGAGGGCGCTTGCCAATTTCCATCTCCCATTAACCATTCTGTCCAGAGAGCAACCGCATTAGTCTTCACGGAAGAAATCGGAATAGTAATTGATCGACTGGCGATTTTACCAATGGACCCCGGCGCTGCTGGGCTGGTTTGTGAGAAAACCGGCGGATCACTTAGGGGCAGTTCAAACACAATCGCTTGTTCCGATCGGGCTTTGCCAGCATATTCCCACAGTGGCTGCGGTTCCACTGGAGCGTCAGTAGCACACGAAGCTGATAAAACCATGTCATCGAAGAGGCGAAGGTCAAAACCCTCACAATCAACACCAACGGGTGCACGAATCTTCCAGAGATGTTCAAATTCCATAGCGACGGCCCAGATACGCAGAAAAGTGGGGGCTACTAAGTGGCAGGAGTATTTGGGTAGTTGCTGTCTAATTCGACCAAAAAGATACCAAAAGTGAATTGAATTCCAAGGGAGCACACCAGCGAGGGCGAAGGGTTCTGCAACCACATATATTGTAACAGGCGATGGCATTTTTTCAGCTAAATTTTCCAGCATAACCAGGAGGTCATCAACATTATCTGTGACGGAGATATCAGCCCCAGCCTCACAATAAATTGAGCGCAATATGCGCGCAGATAACGGCGAACAATCAAGGTGAAACAGTTTGAAATTCCTAGAGCGTAGCGAGGAATAAATTTGGAGTGGTAGAACTGAGGCATCAGATGGAACGACAACCGCCATTGATTCTGACGCGAGAGCGTTGATCTGCTGAGACACGTGATTGACATTTTTGAGAAAGTTCTCACGAAAACGCCAATCATTTAGTTCAGCAAAACGTGAGCGAGGCCAAGTTATATGGGCTAGACAGGTACAGACAGGACGATTTTGAGCCACAAGAGATTCGGTAGGAAAAGGGTGGATGTCGAACCACATAGAGACGCTGTCATGAGCAAAATCTATGCAAAAGGGCTGACCGGCAGAGAGGTTAAGGGGTTTACGAGGGAAATAGACAGCTTGCATCCAGTGATCACGCCACACGGGACTTGAGCAAGGATCTTTAGTGGTGCTACAGGGATTCGCACGAGACGGTGCAGTAGTGATGGCTGGAATAGTGTTAGAGGGTTCCATCTGAAGGCCCCACCAGACGATTAGGGCATGTGCCGTGCCATTATATCGAGCAACTATTTTCCTCCCATCGACCTCTAAAAGAAAATAACCAAGTTGCCCGTTACAGGATTGTGATTGTGCTTGATGTAAAAAACGTACTTCGAGGCCCTGACATGGTAAGGGAAATAAATAAGGAAAAAAATTTACTACAGATATGAACTACCGATCTGAGAGTCATTAGTAAGTTAACCCTTCGCCAAATAGCACAAAGGGGCAAGTAGCTACGTAAGTAAATCGGCAGAAGGCTAAATAATACTACAAACGTACACTGTTCGTTACAGTAGGAAAAAATTGTTTAACAGAGTAACTTCCATCACAACTACGTTCTGAATAATACAAGTACTTGACAGAAAATTATTGTTAGATACATTGCCTTTCAAGGGGTAAAGGGCAATAGGACAAAGTGCAAGGGCCAAAAACGAGTTCACAAAGTGATTAACGGGCTAGATACCCTAAATATGAACCACACTCTAATAGTAAACCAATTAAAAGCCTACCAGCAATTCGTTTGGACTCATTAAGCTTCAGATTCGAAGTAGGAGGAGGAAAATTGAATTCGTGAAACATTATAGGCTCCTCAAGGAGGCAGCGAACGGCACCACGATTGTCGTCATTCGAAGGGACCTGATCATTTACAAATTGGAGGCGTGACACCTGCAAATCGAAAGCAGCTGGGCATCCGTAGCATGAACGCATTTCTCCTGTGGAAAAGATCGGGCCACTACCAAATGGTTTAATCTGATTATGTGACCACAAAAAAGGAGACTCAACCACCTAGAAATAGAACGAAAAAACTAAATAACGTGTACCGCAAAACGTTTTATATGGATGGAATGATTTTACCTGTAAGTACATTTTAGCTTTACAAGGAATGAGGATAGCATCTGGAGTAAGAAGGTGCTCAGCAGCATGACGGTAAGTCTCCAAGGCACCTTCTCCTATTAGTTCTGTATCAAATAGTTCAGCAACAAGAACATTTGCCTTGCGAGGAAGGTCATTGGAGACCTCAAGAGCAGTCGAGTGTTTGCAAATTAATTTTATCTTTTTCTTTAATCCATTTGCTGCTATGATTCGCCTTGCGCATTTCGCAACAGGAGCGAACGCTTCGCATGCGACGACAGAGTCTGCCCCAGCTCGTGCCGCCATCATGGCAAGCAAACCAGACCCCGTGCCGATGTCCAGCACATGGACCTCCTGCCCCTTGGTTTTCATTGCGGTGATGACATGGCGAATGGCTTCATGGTATCGCTGGTTTCGATTGTAGTCGTGAAGCATATCTGCATATGCTGATCGAGCAATTTCCTGCTCAAAGTCGTAATCGTTACTAACGAGGTCCCACTGAATCATGCCTGTGATAGGACTCAAGCGGGAGATAAATGTGCCTGATGAGGGTCCGAGATTGTCTCCCCTGGTAAATGCAGGCCCATCACTAAATTGAGTAGACATAACTAACGTGCGAAGTCGAGTGGAAACTTGTAAAGATTTCTGTAGTTTTAGAAAATGCTAAAAAAAACAACGATTGCGAACAATCACTTCACAATTATGGTGGAATATAGACATGATCACGAGGCAAATTAATAGCAACGTCCATTACAACAACGTGGCAAGTACTGAATGTAATTTAAAAATAGGCAGAAAAAGTGTCTGCAGGAACCGAAGGGAACACAACGAAATACGAAGAGTGATTGATAAACGATGACTGAAAGAGGTAACTTACTATAAACCAATGAACACAGTATTCTATAAAATTAAAGCAATCAATTTAGAGTATTAGAAATAACTAATGTATACGGAGAATAGGGAATAAGTTAGTAAGACAGTAACTGACCTCATGACAACATAAGCCAAATTTGGAATTGATTATTCTTATAGGTTCATTCTACTATCAAAATATGAACTGTCGCTTATTTACTCTCAACCTGAATAGATTTGTCAACATACTTCCTATCCTCGACCGAAATATCGGTAACGTTGTAACATATCTGCCAAGCAGTAATCCGAAATAGTTACTTGCAGTAAGACTGTCCTTAATTAAAAGCTGCACCATCAATTTTGACTATCGGTAAAGCTATACGAGAATAGGAATACCCAGAACCAGATGTAATCCAAACTACCGAACACAGTGCAAAGAGGTATGAGTATACAAATGATTAGTGTAGGTTAGGAGGATGGATGCTCCGTTTGGCTGAAAGGGGAGATAGCTTATGATGAGGCGAGACACATGCACCATGCTTTGGTAATCACTAACCAACACAACCATGGAGAGAAGTGGCACGAAGTACAGAAAAGGAAGATCGAGAGAAAAAACGAGGGCGCGCTGGGTACGGCGAAATGGAGTACATTTAGGAATGTGGTGTGGTGTGGCGTCGGATCAGGGCGCAGACATGTTGGACCACCTGGCCTCAGCCAATCCCGTTTCTCTCTGCGATCTAATGGCATGCGGGAAAGGAAGGCAGCCAACCAGAGAAGGACACGACTGAGGTGCAGTATATAATGAGCGGCGTGGCCAGC